GGAATGTCCGGATCACGTAGGTAATGATATAACTACATGAGCGCAATCGCCTACGAAGCATAGACGTCCTCACCATTAACAAGCAATGCATAAGGCATTTTCATCTGTTGTGTAGCCTGTAACCAGCTGTTAGCACAAGAAACAATCACTTAGTAAACGGCAAATGGTGAGGATTTCGTAAAAAGATGGAAACACTGGTGAATGTCGGAATCCAAGTTTATAGGAAGGCATAGACATCATCACCCAGTACTGTTTGTCTCGGTTGACAAGCCGTTATAAAAGCTGGTCAGTGAAAGATCAATAATCTGCATTCAATCTCATGAATTGGACATTATAAATTTACCTGGCCTCTTGCAACACAGTTCTTAGCATCATTGCATGAGTTACGGTGAGACGCGTAACATTTAGTCAGTAGGGAGCGTGACAAGGCGCCTTATCCTGACAACTGGTGTTCAGCACTCTCCAAGCGACGTCTCGATCATGGGATTTGCAGAATATCATAAAAGGGATATTCAGTTGAGTCTCCTGCTAACACCAACTCAATATGCAGATACATTTCAGCAGTGGCTTATAGACTGGTGTTGAAGCAGAGCATAAGGTTGTTGGAGTCTCGGGGACTACCTGATGAGCTTCAAGAAGGATAAAACGGATATTGGGATGTCGAAGAGTCCCCAGCAACCTTGCAAGTAGTTTCATGTAGAAAAGTACATTCCTGTTATATCGGTATTTCTTTTGATGGCACCTTTGTCTGAGGGCAACTACAAGCTTCTCCAGTATAATCCTCATACCCCTCCCGCTATCGACCATTCAGATCATCGTCCTTCGACTCCACACACCATACATCTCCGTTTTTTCCAGCTGGAGATACAAGCTTGCGGCAGCATCATCCGCACAGGGACTTCACACACCCATGAGCTTGTGTATGCTCAACGGTAACTCCGCGTAACTGCAGTGGAAATGATGACAAGAGACGTGGATGTGCACCTTGACAAAGTCTTATGAATCATCAGGCTTTATTCAAACTGTCTGGCGTCATTCCCGAGAGGCTGTGGACCACCTCTGAATATCAATACAGAGGCCCATTCAGAGCATCTTGGATTGATTCATTTGCATTGACCACCTTAGCCCATGACTGCCTAGCTGGCTGCTCAGCATGCGGCAGTTCAGACCTAACGAGGCACTACCAGCCCTCGGTTTGCTTGACAAGTAGAGCAGAACGAGGTGTACAAAAAAACGATAGAAAGGAGTCACCGTATCCCTGTCTATCATGCTGATGTTTCTGTGTTCTCGGAGGCGTCAATTGGGAGCAATTTTGAGCGGTCACGAGAATACTCACAGACATAGTACAGGGTTCAATCATTTACTTGAATTCCTGGTACAAGTAGTTAACCGTCTCGATCACTTGAATTGGAACCAGGACATTCGTTATCGATCCAGGGTCAGTGCACAATTACAGTCGCTCGATCACATGTGCGCACATTCGCAAGTCGCATTTACCAAGCAGCTTATTATCGATTTACCCTTGTGCAACGTGCACTCGTAATGGTGGTATCGCTAGCACACCAGTCTACTGACTGAAATCCATCTTGGCTTGAAGTGTGTGATCACACATATTTTGTTCTGCATCGTTTCCTTGCTTATTCTACGCCTCACCGAAAGTGCGGATACCGACGAGCTTACTCACATACACACACATATAGCTCCCACGTTCGCATTTATTTTTGTCGCCTTTATGCCAGTAGGATCTCATAAGCTGACTTCCACGGAGTTAACTGGTTTTCCGGCTGGTCTCAGCACACATTTCCGCGACGTTTTTTGTATTAGCAGGGTAGAACATTAACAATAGCTGAACAAGAAAGTAGACCACACCGTGTTAGCCTTTTTCGTGTCTTCACTTGTTGACTCAAAAAATACGTTTTAAAATTGTATAACCGGGACTAACGTTCCCCTGACGGCAATATTAGATTAAACCCAATACGTGTGCCAGCTACCATTTTGTATCTACCCTATTAGCATTTGCTCCGCAAGATTCTGTTGGCGGCTGAGATTAGTTAATACTTGAAGTGGAAGCTAGGACCCGAGTGGAGTCTGTGGCTCAAACCCAACCATGATTTTTCGACTGATCCTGTCTTGGTTCAGGTAACATGGCGGTTTCTCAGCCCGATAGGTACGCGCGGGAAAGATACCGCAACCGAAGATTTGATCGGCTTTTTTTGGAGTCAGTTTGTGCGATAGTGCTGCAGTCTAGCACTTGCACTTGTACAGGTACACGTATTGTGACGGAATTTTAGCAGGATCGTCTTGTCAATACTCGGTCCAAATGTGTCAAGATATCAAGAAATGGTCTGGAGCTAATAGGATATTCGTCTGTCGAAAAACCGTAGGAAATATGGTACAAGTGGAGATTCTCAAATAAATGGGGGAGAGGTGGCTCAGTTGGTTAGGGCATGAATTTACTGACGAAAAGGTCTGTGGTTCGAATCCGATCTCTGCCCCTCGACTTCCTCTGTCTAGGCTTGGGTAACCTGGCATTATCCCAGCCCTTGTGCCTCCTTCGGTTGGCATGGCAGCTGGGCACCAAAAAGGTGCTATAGCTCAAGTAGTGGTGCTACGAGGAATGAACGACCTCTTCAACTTAAAAGAGATTGTTCATCTCACTCGAAAGAAATCGCTGGACCTGTGTAAAGTCCTTAATTGTAAGGAGCCAATGGGTTGCACTTTTCACTGGAAAATAACCTAACCACAGGATTCTTGAAGTCTTTCTTCATTCGATATCTATTGATCATGTGCTTCCCAGATCGCTGTTGCAAACCACCCGTGGGTTTTTAACTCTATCTTGATGCCAGTAACATTTGTCTTCTCAAATCCAAAATAAAGGAAGGTATTCAATAGCCAGAAAGCGCACATTACTGCGGCATTCTCAGATGTTTTGTATATAGCTGACTGCGACGAAATTAAGCTATATTCTTTTACACTGAACATACGAACGTGATGTGCATTCAAAAAGGATTCTATTGTTGTGCTTTGTTGTGACAAAAGTGTACATCCATTCATCATTTCGAGACGATCGGTTAAACCGCTCCAGAAATCACCTGAGTACAAACTCATCAGGAAAGCCCTGAATGACTGAAGACAGCGAAATGACGATTCCACTGGCTTGTTAACGTTATGGTGTTCACCAACAATATGCGAATTTCAGACATCTGTGGGCATCTACTGGAATCTTACTCAGAAGATGTAATTACGCTGCTGATTACCAGTCGAAGCTGCTTGATATCAAACCAGTATAATCGGCCCTATAGAAATTGATAGCCAGCACATTCCAATCTAGCATGCTATGGCCGAAGCTAGGAATTTCATGCTCAGACTGATAACTAAGCAATTTCATTAATAATGCAACCCAATTATGCCAATATTTTTGACGTAGAAAAATATTCAAGTTTGGACCATTATGGCTAGGTTTACCCAGTTTGAAATTCATCATTTGGATGGTGAATTAGAGGTGAACATCAACCCTCTTATTGTCGAGTATGACAATTGACTATCACGCTAACTGTGGTGTGTTAGGGAATTCGTGTTTAACACCATACCGTAAATGATCTTTTTAACACAATGGAGTACTCTGAGGACGACCAGTGTGGGACGTTGTGAATTTATTCATCAATTCTTGCCAGTTAGTCATTATCTGTTCTGGAGTTGTCATATACGTTTCGGCAAACAACTAATAGCCAGAGCCTGTTTCATTTTTCTGATGGTTGAACAGATTTGCCTCCATCGAAGTGTTTGGCACGGCGCACGAAGCTACCTTACGTCGCTTAAATTTATTCCTGAGGGCCTACTGGAAGGACGACCAAGAGTAGAATCTAGATTTTGCCAGCACGACCTTCCATTGATTGACTTACGTATCACATTGAATCACTACTTGGTCAGTGCAAATACCCTGACAGTTACTGCATCCTGAGTTTCCGAACTTAGTGATTACATGGAATATCTAATGACTGTGAACGAGGCTGAAACATTCGGGGTAACTGTGACTCCGTCCAGCTGTAACACCCTTTCGGTGCCTAGCTGCCATGCTACCCGAGGGAGGCACGAGTGCTGGGATACTGCCACGTTGCCCAAGCCTAGACAGGGGAAGTCGAGGGGTAGTGGTCAGGTTCGAACCACGGACCTTCCGGTCAGTGAATTCGCGCTCTGACTACTTGAGCCATCTCGCCCACCTGAAAGGTGAATAACTGGCCAGACCAGAGTTCGTGCTGCATAAGTAATTGTCGCTTCTTATGCACCTCGGAAAAGCTAGAGTTAGCTCAGTAGTTAAGGCGCCAGCTCACGGACCCTTGGAACTATTTAGTTCTCGGTTTTTGTAAATGATGGGGTACACGACTGCTCGATTGATGTGTGGATTTCATTGCAGACAATTGGGTGTATTCATCAGTGGCTAGGTGTTGGAGGTGTATGCACCTCGGGTAGTTGTAGTAGGCTAGCCCTAGGTCCTGTTATAAGGCCTCATTCAAATAAATTGACATGGCTGTCAAACACCTGTATTCTTACCTGCCAATGATGATGATACCCATCAGGTCACCTATACGTCATGAGACCTCGCTTGATGATAAAAAGTTGGCTAGTGCGCTGATGGTCTGTGTGGAAAAGTCTCGATTCTCTTTTGTTTGGTTCTTTGGATAGGTCGGGTCTGTTTACGGTATCTCCTTAACTTAGCATCAACGTTATCCTTTTGTTCAAACGTGACGCTGTGATCTTTCAACATGGCTTCATCCAGTTATTTGAAATTTATCTCACTTATCCAGCGTTCGATTTGTTTGCACGTGTATCGAGGTTTTGAACACGTTTTCTGTCTGAAGGTTTGGTCATTATCGATTTATCGGTTTGACATTATCGTTCAATAGCCTGCAAAATTGTCTTTGGATTGATGTCTTGCATCTCTGTATAGTTTTCACGACGCCTACTTTTACTTTCAAAACTTCTCGATCATTCTGTTGCAGCGCTGCCGGTGACTGATAATTCACCGTTCGGTGACACAAGTATCGCCCACAACTACGCTGATCATCATTTTAAAGCAAGCACTCCAGAAAATGAGGGATCTTCATTTTATTCGCGAGTTCCCGGTCCGTGCACAGTTGGTGTTCGTAGCAGTAGTCTGAGCAGTGGGAGGGGTAGCAGCGAGGGCGTGGGAAGTCGAAGTGGAAGCGGTAGTGGTGGTGCGGCAAGTCGCAGCAGCAGTAGTGGTCATGGGGGTGCTGGTTTTCCACTTCCTGTGACCAGCGTCCCTGCAAATGGCCGCAGTTCCGCTCCTGGTCCTAATAGCATGACAGTAACCTCAGGCAGCCACAGTAGCTCTGGCAGTAACTGCAGTACTGGCAGTCTCACTGGTGGTATGGAACTGAACAATACAATGTTGGCTACAACTCAGCGAACTGGACCAAACAGTGTGCTTGTTAATGGCCATTCCACTGGGAACCACTTCCATGGGGGTGTAACACAGCGTGTTACCGCCTCCGCGGCCCCAACCGAATGTAACGTTTTACCAACGTACAGTGGATCCAGTTCGTCGTACCAGCCAACCTCGTTCCAGTCCATGGCAGCGCATACACCGCCTGCGTACACCCTACGTCAAATTCCTCCAGCGCACTCAGTTGGATATCCATACACATCAACGGCGCCTACCTCGGAATCAGTGAGTTTCAGTTCCGATGAAATTCATGCACTTTTCTCATCCGCTTAGTACAACATTTGGTGCCTTTCTTCTATAATTTTATGTTGAAATTACCATCTTTGTTAGTACAACCCCATTTGCTTCCAGAGTCATACATCCAGCGTCTACTTATAGAACCAAGAACAATATTACTAGCCGTGCGCTACCGACATCGAGGAGTCTGTTAGGCTCAGCAACATCGGTCAAAAAGAGCAACACACATAGTTTGTTCATACCTTTTGCATTTTGAAAATATAGGTGCGCTGTGTTTCCGGACACAACACCCTAATACACTCTACACGATCCGGGACAGCTCACCTTCCTGTCTTCTCACTCGCTGATTGTCTGATGACCCCGAAGCGGTGCTTTGTAATGTCGGTGATGCGGGTATTGCGTATGAAAACCAGAGGCGTTCTCATTGATCCTGAACCGACGGCTGTGTGCACTCAGACTGGCTAGATTCACCAAAACCTTAAATCTATGACTCAACACTCGAAATCCGTTTTCTGTCTCTACCTAGTAATGCTACAACAGTGAGGCTCTCAAGCAAGGGACTTTCCAGGCTTCTTCGGTGCGGAAACTGCACAGATTTCATTCTCACTGGAGACAACCTTAGAAACCTTGGTTATGCGGACGATAGGGTTCTAATTACATTCGTAAACAAAACCTACTAGATTATGTGATTCGGCAGGTGCTTCACACCCTAAAAGTGCGAAACGCTATTGCACTACACTGCTGAAGCCGATCAACGCATCAGAACCACTTGAGGTAGTAGACAACCCCACTTATCTGGGTAATTGCATCACATTGGACATTAGTATTTTTGATGGAGTGTATGTCAAAATTGCCCGATTTCATTGGGTTTACTCTAGCGTGAGCATCTCTGGAGTCAACTGGGCATTAGCTTATCTGTAAAAGATATGAGTTATAACACAACCGTGTATACAATGTTGCTTTACAGTTTTGAAGCGGAGCCACTGGGCTTTGGAGCTTGGGATATCTCAGCCATTAGGGAGCACAACTATCAGTCGGGATTTCCGTGGCTCTAACCAAATCCCGGCATTTCAGTTGTTCCTGCCTATGGGTTGGCAAATCGACAGTATCGTAGTCGTTCCGCTTCCTTTGAGTTGCACGGTAGCTATGCACCGAAAGTGTACCACAACCGAACGATTATTATTATTTGTTTAGTTCACGATAGCATTTTTGGTAGCAAGTACGTGAGAAGCAATGAGGGACGGCTATTTACAAGGACCTCCCAATTCATCCCAATAAAGTTAGCACTTAATACAACGAAGCTTCCATCCAGCGCAATCGCCCGCCATTAGCTGGATTGCAACGAATACAAAGAATCAAGACAGTCATTCAAAGTCACAAGCTGCCGGAACAACAACCGCCTATTATGTCTCGCTGAATCTGCGGCGATTCGCTGCTGCATGCCCAACTGGTGTAAACACCTGGAATTTGCGGCTAGTCTTGCCTTTAACTGGTTAAGCTGGCAGCGAATCACGTCTCTAGCTCTAGTGCTTTTATGCAATCGGAATGTTTTCACTGGCCTGCATGTTTGTCTGTCAAATTATCTGTCCGTTATCCTATCATATCCTTGAACCTGAGTGTATGTAAACAACTGATAAGATGCGCGAGGTAGCTGACTTCTGTTATGCTACTTCTTGTTCTTGTGAACTTCATGAAGGGAACTGAGTGCATAAAAACTGATTGCTCATTTTCTTCGGTTTTCATGTTCACGACTTCCCTTCCTTCTACACTGTCAGTTACCGCATACCTAAGTGACCCAAACCACCGTACCAGCATGCACAATTCAAGGCTGTCAAACCGGACTTCACCTCTGGTTTTGTGTTCTTACATTTGTGATTTGCTGAACTACTCAGTCATTCAGCCTATCACACTAAAGGTACCCAGTGTCAACTGTCTGTTTACATTTGCTTGTCATCCTCCGTGGGTCTTCTCTGAAGTGGGTTCAGAGGAAGTGGAAGAGTCTACATGCTTCGTGTGGCTGGTTCGGCGTGAAAGCTTGCGTAGCTAGTATATTAACGAAATCAATCCGACGTATCAGGTAGTATACGCGCCTTACGACTCCCATTGTAATCATTCATATTATCGCGGGACAGTTCAGACATGTGCGCATTACTCAACACCCTATTGCCCGATGAGTGTTCTACTCCCTGTTACTGTGTTTACTGCCGTCGTGTTTTTTCCGACCAACAGCGATGCCCCCTCCTCAGTATCTCGGAGCCACCCATATGCAACGCCTGTAATTCTTGCTAACTTTTCCGATGGGCACAGTGAACGCGTAGAATGGTTTGCCCGGTACTACAAAGTCTGTGGCTATAGAACCCAGCTTCACTAGACATTTCTTCAACACCAGGCCAAAAAGCTGTTTTCTACAACGATCAACTTGGCCAATCTGGAACCAGGATGCTGCATGGTATGGGTTCGAGACGCAGGGTACTGTTAGCCGCTAACTTCAAGGAGTATTAAATATATTCATTGGTATATGTATGTGTCCGAAACCACAGTGCCGTTTTGTCCTCCGCTCTACTACTACATCAGTCTTGCTTCATTGCTTCTTAAAAGACTTGATGAATCCTTTGCCTTATAAATGACTGGAATTTGATGGCACCTATTGATTTCTGCGTTTTCACTACACTGCCGTCTACCAGTTAGTTTCAGAAGCGCTACTCGTCATCCACCAGCTTGGCGTCCCACAAATTTGCTGTTCCCTATGTATTTAAAAGAATACCCCGTTGTAGTAGACCATGGTGACGGACGGAACAAGTGTTACCACACGCCGTTTGCGCTGTGTTGCGTGTGGGGCGAGATGGCCCAAGTGGTTAGAGCGTATATTTACTGACCGGAAGTTCCGTGGTTTGAACCCGACTTACGCCACTGGGCAGTTAGGCACCGAAAGGGTGCTACAGCTGTACGGAGTCATCAACACTGTTGAATTGATCGTTTGTTAAGCGCTTTTGAGAACCCTCGCGGAGGATGATTAAACACTAGCCATTTGATTCTTTTCGTGTGTAACTGAACCCCCGGGAACCCGACAATCCGATGTGAGTCTAAGGAAGGTTATTCCCAAGTGCGAACGGATACGTGTTTCGCGGTCCTCGCACTCACAAGCCGACGTATCGTGCTCTATTAACGTGACCTTGTTCCGCTGTTTGAATGATGAGGTGGGTTGAAACGCCATATCATTCGTTTCATTCTGAATAGTGACCAGTGAATATCTAACTCTGCTTTCATGAACGAAACTACTCACAAGGTTGCTGAAAACTCTTCGGCTCTGTTCTTATGTCATATGACCCTCTTCCATGCTCAACTGATGGAATCCAAGTCAGCGGATGGGAGTCCGTCCTCAAATCACAAAGACATCGTACCATCTATGCCCATCCGTGTGTTGTACGGTTTTTAGTTTGATGCATAATCAAATTAGTCTAGTTTCTTCTGAACATTACTCACACTTCGATGCCTCTATATTTGGATTGCGGTGCAGAGCTATTGCATCTTTCAGTTTTGTTATATGGTAATCGTACAACTGTTCGGTCAACGTGCCCAACTTTCCCAAACCCACAGATTATTCTGACAGCTCCGACCACGACACCCTCTTCGACTGTTTATCACACGACGCAAGGGAGCGCCATTGTCAAACCACTCAGTGATAACCAACCCCAACGTGACAAACTGCCCTATTTTATGCACAAATCCCAGTGGCATTCAAACGTGACAGGACACGTCCCACTCTCGCCTGGCTTACCCAGACGATTTGTTGATGGCGTTCTCCCTCCAGAAACTTCAGCCCATATTCAGTACTCCTCTGGACAGTCTTCCCCTTCACCTGCTGGCTCCGCTACGCCTGTTCCGACTCCACGCCGTGAATCCTTAGCCGGATCAGTTCCAATGCGAGCTGGGCCTGCTCCTCCTGCTCTTGCAACGCATGAACTGTCGTCTGACGCCAACTACACTCTTACTCCTCCTCCGGTGGCTACTCGTCCAGAGAAGACAAAGTCTATTGTGAGTAGTGCGTTTGTATTACTGGTACATGGTCCATTGTTTTACATGAGACTTCGGCATCTCAGAGTCCGGATCACTTCGGTTTTGAGTTTATCACCATCGTCACTGGACTCCATATTTCGTCCCGAAGACTTCTGGGATATCATATTTTCAGTATGGGCTGGAAAGTTGTTAAGCCACTTAGCACTCAAGGATACCGGTATCTTCAAGAATGCGGGCGGCTAAAATGCCCAAGTTTGTTGCAGTAGAGCAGCAGAAATACCATGTCAGTCACCCGGCATCTGAATTGTCGGCGGTTTCTCTTATTTAAGCCATTCGCAACAGCTTGCTCCTCCGCAGCAAGTTCACACTCCACCCTGGAGGCACGACTATGTGTGGCGGTGTCGTAACTTAGACTCGTGATGGTCCGGTGTACTCAAGGAGCTACTAGGTTCTTCCACTTTTTTGTCGTTTCGTTTCACCCAGCACGACCCAACTTACTAAGACTGTCACTCGATGGAGCAAAATAGGGTGCAAAGTAACACCCTGTAGAAGCTGCGCTGAGTTTCACGGATATGAGAGCTTCTGGGTACAATCTAAGGGTTATTACTTGGACAGTGTCTGGCTTTCATAATTGAGTATGAACATTGGTTTAGGGATATTTTTCGTTACAGTGAATATAATTACTCCTGTATGAAGTGGTTACGGACCCGAATTTATATTCCAAGGTTGCAGCATCAGTCACAGATTCCTACACTGTCTATTTATCTGGCATCACTCAGCTTGTTTACTTTTCCTTGATTATTTGGTTGTTCTGCAGGCGAACGCACTTGGGTGCACCGGCCACCATCCTTGTTTTACTCGCTGTCGCATCAGACAACCATCTTAACCTTTTTGAAATGGGGTTATTTCTGCATTTTGCGTTTATCAGGGACGCTCACATTCCACCGATTTTGCTACAGTACAGGATCACAGTATCCCCTGTTCCGTGCCGTTCCCGTTCCGTTCCCCTGTCTGTGCGAGGTTCACTCCCCCTTACCAACACTTTGCACTTGGCTTCCGTGATATTCATTGCTTTCACCTCACACCTTTCATTGATGCCTGGGATGTGCTTAGGCCGGTTGGCAATAGTAAGGAGTTCAGGGCTAATGCTACGCTTTCTGTGTTAGACCCCGGTTAGCTTGAATAAGAATATTCTCCAGTGTTCACAACCAACTTCATTTCTTACATCAAGAAGTTTGTAGTTCTGTTTACGTAGATACACTGACAAATATCGGGTTTTGTTTTCTTATCGATTGTGCTGTGTGCATTCCTGTCATAAGTCCTGTCTTTATCGCACTATGTTGATGCGTCTTAATGTCAGTTGAGACACTGTATGCTGTTTCTACTCATGAATTGCTAGGCGTGGTTTGTATCAGCCTTACTGCACCCTTCGCCTCATTGTCACACTTCTAGTAGTTCCATCCCCTTAACCATGCCATTAACTCGTGTGACTTGTGCGAAGTGTGCAGCAGTGTTCAGGCTGTTTTGTAAAACGTGTAAAACGAAGTTAGTGCGCTCTGTCGTATCGGGTGATCTTAACGAACGCCAAATTGCTTCCCAAAAGCTATTATACCTGGTTATAATATTTCACATTCAAACGCTCGTCATTTCCACCTTTGTCCAATTGGGCGTGTGTAGTTTATTTGAGTGGTTACCTGATGAAGGTGCCAGTGGATCAGGCTTTTGGAATATATTCTGGTTACAAATCACCCGTTACCATTTTTCCTATAGTTGACTGCCTGTTATGTTCTTCACTTCTACCATGTCTATATAATGCGGAATTTTCCGTTCAGAGTTAATTTGGGAGGATTATTGGCTGTTGGCCAGATGGCAGTTGATCCGTTCACCGAGCTTGGCAACTGACTTGCAAGCGCTTAGTCAGCATGCGAGCCACGCATATTTAAACATATTGCCAATGGAGAGATCGTACAAAATCTGACCTTTGTGAGCTCTTCCGGTTCACTTGATTCCTTGACCCATGATCTCTGATCCCCAGCCTTAAAAACATCTTTTTTTCAGTAAGTACGGATTCGCTCATGGTGAGCACTTGTTTTAAACTTGCAAGACATCTGGTATCTTGTAGGTCAGTTGTTCCAATCCCGAGTGTAAGGGGAGTGTCCGAGCTTTTGGGCTATTGGGTGCCGTTTTGTTTTGCCTTTGGTTTATTTTTTGACGTAACGCGAATGAGTACCAACACTACTTTCAGTATTACGGTGGCTACTATTTTTAGGTGCATTCGCAGGTTCATTCAACCCTTATTCCAACCTTCATTCTATAAAATTGAACCTGGATAATTTTGGTGCATTTAAAATTTTTAACGATTAATGCGTTTGGCTTCCTTTGTTTGAGCGTTCTGTGGAATATTCTGTCTTCCTCCTCTCTTCAGTTAGAGTATGGTTGAAACAGAGATTGTCCGACTTGGGACCGTCATAGGAGGTTTCCCGGTTGACTCCAGTTTAATCAGTTTTACTCCGCACAATAAGCCATTTACTGGTTACCCACATGCTACTATTGGAATTCGAACTACTTTACTTGTTCCGTGCATATCGCCGTAACAACCGGCACTGTGCGGATCACATTTCTTAGGGACTGGATTCTAGGATAGGATTCTACCCTATAGCGAAATGGCGATATGGGTTTCTGCCGCCGTTCCAGCAGATACTCCCCTAAGTCACTTTTTCAGTGAAAACGCAAATCCTTCAAACAGTGCTGTTCCTGAGCTCTCTTCAACAGATCGGTACACGACGATGAGCTGTACAACCGAACCAAGAGAAAGGCTTAAAACTTTCCACTCAGATAAAAAAACAGTTAGGTCCTCCCGGCCGTTTGTGTGTGTGTGCATATACTTCCGTGCTTCGTTTACACAAAGCCACTATCCTGAAGGAGAGTGATACCCGCCAAATTCTTTCGACAGATTTTCGACACCTTACATTTCTCGACATTTCGTTACACACTTTCTTCCTACTAGCAGTCGCGTCTCTCAACTCACATGGAGGTAAGATTGACACCTTTCTGCACTTTATTTTCATGGTCTCACTTCAACACGAACATAGGTTGTTTGAAAGTCTTTTCTCACACTAATCGCTATTTTTGGTGTTCCTACACTATATTGTGATCGACTGTGAAAAAGTTGCACTGTTTCATCTCACGTTACTGAAACCGGATAGCTTGGGGTTGAATCCGAGTTACCACCAATAGACTGTTCTAATTTGATCCACGTGTGTCGACCCTGTATAGCTGTGCGTGCCAGTTGCTGTGGTGAACTATGCAGTGCTTAATCGATGGGCTGGTTGATATGGTGCAGCTTACACTTTCTTACGCGATCACCAGATGGTGGTGGTGATGATCCACCCGCATACTCTCAGTAGTGAAATTCGGTTGCCTGCATGTCACGTTATTTTCTTTCACACGTTATGCATACCGGGAGTGACACGTGACGGGTGATTGATAGCAGCAATGCAGCTTGAGCACTCAGGTAGAAGTATGTTCATTTGCTTAGATTTGGGCCTAATTAACGTGACAACCAAATCGTTCGCACGAAAACACTGCTCACTTAGTGTGTATTCAAAATTCCACTGAAGGGTATGTTCAACAGGAATTATGGTGGTGGTGGAATAAGAACAAATAGGGGAACGCGATCCCCTTCTGAAGTTGCACCAACTTATAGTCTATAGTAAGCAGTGCTTGGTTGCCTTACAGATACTGAGCTCATGATCATAACAGGTTTTCAACACGCGATTTGAAGATCTTCACAAAAATGCGACAGAATACCTTTTGTTCTGTTGGGAAAATTAGTGTCCTATAGGAAGGGGATGCTACAACCGATTTCCACTTACCCTGCATGAAGTTATAGAATTGCTGCCATAAACAGTGGTACCCAGGAGCGACCACTGGTCCTATACAAGTGCTGGAAAAGAAGACCCTGATATTGTATGAAATTCGAGACAAGCAGTGAGTGGAAACTCGGAGAAAATCTCCGTCCATTTAGAGGAAATGTTCAGCCGTCATTTCGGTTTTTCAGTTCATAAACCGTGCATCGAAATGAAGTGCTTTAAGCTGCTACGGATTTATCCATCGAGGATAACGAGAATCAGGTAATGAGCATTTCAGGTTGGGGGCGATGATCCAATCAGTTCAATGATGTCTAGTGGTTTTGTTTGCCCGATGCGGTAGGGCTTCAGAGCTGCACAGTGAAGGCAATAGGTTTGATGCAAGACTTTCATTGGCTACGTGACACATGATGGTTGCGGTAGAAATATCGGACTGCGTGGGATCTGAGGTGCAAGCTGATGTGACGTGGTTCCTATTCGCGTGGACCCAGTTTAGAGTTGTTTCTGGTCAAAGTAAAGGATGAAAGAACCGAGGAATGGATTCATTGAAAGTGCTAGTTCTTTGGTCACTGTCGCCAGATCTGCATTAAAAAGACAGCTCGTAGTTCATGACGTTTACAGAGTATGTTTGTGTTTTCGAATAGCATGAAAATGACGAAAATCGTCCTCAGGTATCCTTTTTATCCTCAGTTCTTATTTTGGTGTTCAGTACGAATGGATGTGACTTTAACCTAACACAGCTAACCGTTTCCGATAATTACTTTAACCTCACCTGACCAGACTTTCCTGTGGCGCCAAATGGCTGTGAGCGATTCATGCAATCCGCAAATTCTGCTATGGCTATGGAAGACTCACGTAAACGCAGTTTAAGCCATCTACCATGCAGATTTGCCAGTATTCAGCACTTGCAGAAACTCAGGTACAGACTGGAAACAGAAGCTAGTAATAATAATATTAGCGTTGTTACTTTCCCCGAATTCTCCACTAATTGCTTGTAGTTCCAATGTCTTTCCGACAATCATTTGAATGGGAATCTGATAAAACTAAGAAAATGGCACAAAATTATGCGAACTAATTTTCCTAAGAGTTCAAACTTCTCAATTGAATAATACGCGAAATACCGTTAGTAGCCAAAATGTCTTGCGGTCGGGATTGAGCGCCGTTATTAACGCTAGTTGTGATCCTACTTAAGCACCACCATCTTACTGTTCATTCACTCTCGTACAAACGCTTTCCTCGATGGGATGTGCATCGTTGGAGGTCGTATCCAATGCTGCCTGGTCTCCAGAGACTTTCCAATGTTTCCATTCCTAGTGTTGTGGAGTTTAAGGTTTTTCCTTGCATCTCTTTGCTTTATCGTGCGAACAGAGCTCCACTCAACTCGCAATCGATAGTCTGCTGAATCATGCAATCGGTATCTTGGAGCTGCTCTTGAAATCGGTATTGACTAGGAAAATCACTGACCACACAAGCATGCATATTGTCATTAGATAAGTTCCGTAACATTGATCATTCATGTGTGGTATCTTTGTAGTGCCTTACTGCCATGTCACCAGACTAAAGCACGAGAGTGGGGATACTGCCAAGTTGCCAAGTAGACAGGGGAAGTCGAGAGGCGGAGGTCGGTTTCGAACCACGGCCCTTCCGGTCGGTAAATTCGCACCCCAACCATTGAGCCTTCTCGCCTCAGTAACATTAGGATCGCATGGCAGTCAACCATAGCATCATGAGTACTACACGTACCGAGATGCTTTACAGTTGAGTTGGTATTCCGGGTGAGGAACACTGGCCTGATGTTTTCCAATGCCATATAAGGATGGGCTTCGCGACAAACCATGAGGAATGTTGTGCCCCTGTCTTTATTCTCCATACCTTTGTTCAACTTGACTTATTAGACGTAGGATGATCAGGCAGTCAACAAACTAGCTTCGGGACGCACAATATAGTGGTTCTTGTCTATCTGCACCAGTGGTGTCGGTTAGTCTCTAATCCACCCCGTGTATCAGGAACCTCTGGGTCTTTTTGGTGCTTGTATGATACCTAGTCAAACGAGGGACCTTATTTACTGTTTCGTTTGCTCATTGGATGTACTTATTGTGTCGCGATGGTTACAATCGTTCCTCTCTCATGTTCAACCGAAACAGAATGTCTCGTCAAACTCACGTATGAGGTTTGAACATCACTGGAGTGTTTCAATGCAACGGATTTTGGTGGGCGGCACATAAGTTAACACGCCCCTAAAACTAGTTGGATCGGTTTTCGGCCTGTTTTTGCTGGGTGTCAATTGGAGATTCGTTTTTTGTTGGAGTAATGGGCTGTTCTCGACCTATGCGGGCCCTGTTGAAAGAAGTATTTTCGTTAAACATACTAAGGGGTTCTCGAATAGTGTTCCGAACACGTTGGGATCCTACACATTTTTGTACAGCTTTTACCTTGCAATGGTTTGCACCGTATAGCTATTGATGCAGGAGCAAAAGTTTCGACTTCTTAAACAGCGAGGCATTTTAACTTAAACCAGAAACGAAGCTGTATGCAATCAGCTTACACTCTGGCGGTCAGCCGGTCGTATGGTTTTTCACAAAAGGAATAAAATCGTTAACTTGGTGAATTTTTTCGTGATGACAGCGGATCAGTCTGAGGGTTTGCCCGAGTCAGTTGGATGAAACATTGGGTAGATTTATTGCCAGCAACAGATAACCTTTATCACGGGCACGATAGGTCATTTAGGACCATATCCAGACTCTCGACACGTTTGTGGTTAAGGCGCGATCTTACTGACTGGAAGGTTCGTGGTTCAAACCCAACCTCTGCATCTTGACTGCTGTCTACCCTTGGCAACCTGGCAGTATGTTAGCACTCGTGCTTCCTTCGGGTGACATGGCAACTAAACACTGGGAGGCTGTCACAGGTGAACGATTACAATTACAATTATTATTATTATTATTATTATTATTATTGTTGACCTAAAACAACCTATTGTGGTGTTTGTGTTCCGAAGATATAACGCAAGAGTTCATCCGATTTCACTTCACATCATGTATCTTAACGTCGTAAGAGGTATTCTTTTGGAATTTTCTTTTCCTAACACACTGTCCAGTTGTGTACGCACCTAGCAGATGCGCGACAAATGACCATTTTTGTGGCCAATCAGCTGCTTTGTGCTCTCAGCTGATTTCGCTGCTCACCGCTTGATAATTTTGCACGTGTTGGTCGCAGTTTTCGCCATAAGTGTAGAAGCAACCTTACAGTCATTTTGCTTCTGTTCGTAACGCCCTTTTTCCACAAACAAACCAAAGAAGTCATATGTAGTCGAACTCACCGTCCCGACTGCCGTCAACCTAAGTGACACGCTTTCAGTAGCTGTCTACATGCCATTGGAATCCTAAACGAGTGCTTTTCACTTTAGAGCATTCCGTACGTTTGAAACGCAACCAGTGAACCCTGAAACATTCTTATTTTAATTATGCATTACTGATGACCTCATTGTTAATGATTCATTTCCCTGTGCCTCTTGATCACTTTTAGATGAGACCTCTAGTGGCTGTCCAACTAACCACCTAATTTTGTCCGGCGCCGTAGCACACAGTTTATAAGACAAGGAACATTACGTTATGTGCTAAAGAACATTCTTAATGTTGCCTTATTTGTGTGCTTGCATCTGTGTATGCTTTCTTCAAGTGGGAGTGGACCGAACGACATCACACTGTCTGGCTTTCATTCACAGGTTATTTCGCATCCTGAATAACCCGGCCGCTGTCCATGTGTTTACTTTAACGGGATCGTTGGTTAGTTGTTTTTTACTGCGGAAATCAATCGATCATTTCAGTGTGCTGGCGAGACATCTGTCTGTGCCCTCCTGCTCCTTATCGGAACTCCCATTTTTAATGAACTGGAGAGATTTTTTAACCAACTTTGATGAGCACCATCCCTACCATTTAGGTCTACGAATTGTGGCTGTTTGTCGCTTTCGTTTCACGATAATCGTAAGCTTCCCTCTCGTTCTTATGATTATTTGGCCCTATTCTAAAAGCGTTCATCAGACGGTTATAAAGCCTTATACTTCAGGTGATGTCGTTCATTTTCGCCCTCTCGACCGATGTGTGCTCTCAGTTGTACTGACATACTACCAATTTAAAATAGTATTTATACGATGTAACTGGATGGTCAGTGCTGAATTGTATGTGGTCGGTCGCTTGTGCCTGTCGCTGTATTACCTGACACCGTGGTGGCATTAATTGGTAAGATGACACCTCAGTGAATACAATTGAAGGGATAGTGGGTAAGGCTCTGCGAGAAAAAACCCTTTTGAAGGAATACGGTGTGGGTTTTTCACCTTAGTTCACTCTACTTGCTCCGGCCGTTCAACTTCCAAATCAGTGTGTTCGGGTTGCTGAACAGCAGTTGGTGTGCTTAAGTTGCACTTATTTGATTTTCGCCTAATCAACGGTGGGTGTTACCTTGTAGTTGAGCCAAGTTTTCTTCAAACAACGTCATCCTAACCAAAGTGCGTCGTTGGTGTGTTCGTAGCACACATGCAGATTTTGTTACCCTTTGGTTTCAACTTGGCCCTTGCGAACCGATAAACCGCTGACTTAACCAAAAGCCTGCGCATCGTTAGCCTGACTTTCCCTTTTGATGGAAAACCTGATCACCGGTTTGAACCGAAATGGCATTGGACAGTCTCCACAAAGGCCTTATGAATAATTAAGTGGGTCTTCTAGGATGGAGTCCACATTGGTTGGAATTGCACTGGTATTAAAGGACTATCCCCTAAATTCACTATAATCATAGCAAACATTTTTTCAGGAGGATTTGGTAAACAATCAGTGGCTTCATAGATGGACAGTGTTTCGCTTTTGGCACAAAAGTTTCGTTAGGTCCAGTGGATAGGCTATCAGGTTTGCCGAGTTTTGAAGCAGACGGTGAGCCAGTCACGATAACTCTGCACCAGGAACTAGGTCAATCTTGAATGTCCGTTAAAAGTCCTTTTCATTTATTATGACTGCCTGAGTTTTGCGGCCGATGCCGAGTGGTTCGAGCGTCAATGAGCGTGGACCCCAATAAATACATATGGCTGTAATGGACAATGTGATTGGAAGTTATCGACCTACTTTAGGATTTGATTTATACTACCGACCTTTATTTTCTCCTTCGTTGCGCATATTGATTTAGTGTCTCATTAGTGTTGTAGGGCAGTGGAAATTCGGTATGTGGATACCTTAGGTGATGGTAAGTTGTTGATCGCATACGGATAATGTGCGACATTTCCCTTACACGGGCAACCTTCTCTTCCTTAGTTTGAACCTCTGATGAAGGCTCCTGGTTTTTCTTCCCACAGTTTTGGTATCTGACTTTATGCATAAGCTTCTTTTGATATTCTATCCTGGGTTGCATACTTCACGAATCTCGCGAATTTTTCACGTGAATCTTTATGCAAACGGCCGAGTCATTCGTCTGCGCTGATTAGATGCCATATGCTTTGTGAATCGACCACACGGAGCGGGCCAACAGAAACAGGCTAAGTATATAAGCAGTTGACGTGTAGGTAATCGTAGCAAACACCCACCTGTGGTGATGGTATTCCACAGTATAAAGACTGCATATGATGTGGCTAGTTTCCTCGGGCCATGGGAATTTCGTTGTGCACTTGTGAATGTTGGTATAAATTGCGTAGCTTCTGCATCGAATAAGTCTACGTACCCTGCATACGTTGGAGGTTCCCTCAACTGTTCGCACTGGATTGGTAGGTTTCTTGTTATTTTAGATTTGCTGCTTCGTAGTCCACCGTATGAACAACACCGATCAAATTGAAGATTTATGCGGAACGCGCTTCCTTGGGTGAGGTCTACGTGATACTCGCTACTTGACCAGCGACGCTTCAAGATTCAGTGACAAACTGAAGTCAATGCTAGCGAATATACACTCATTTGCAAACTAATTTGGTTCTTTCGAGAGACTCACCTGGATTGCGCCTACCTGATGAACCCCAAAGAAGGGCGAAACCGGTCGTGGGCTATCGATGGATTTTCAGCAACCTTATGAGTAGTACATTACAAATATATGAAGTCAATGCTGTTCGTGTTGTCATTTCCTATCTAAATTGCCTAGCTGAGTGTTGGAGATGAACGCAATCTGGAAGTTCGTGGTAGGCTATCAACAGGCGCTCTCCTCATTGCATTTTGAGTTTCTTTTTACGCTAGGACCTTTATCGAGTACCATTGCCCAGTGTTTCAGCAATGGTGTTGCTGTCAGTGATGACGGTAATTACCCGAGCTATTCATATGCTTTCCTTTAGGCTACTTTATCTCATTTCGTGCCCGTTTCCTCTTGTTTGACCTTTTTGTTTACAACATGTAAGCATTTTTTTCATGTTCCCGACCAATCGATGCCGTTTACGGATGTACTATGATGGTTTCCCATCTGGTGGAGTATGAAGGTGCCAGCTAGGGTTTTCCGCTCCGGTTTTCGTGTTCACTGTGTTTGTGTGTGCGTCATTTCTCGGTTTCGAATGTGTGCATGCATCACACTCTGTACGTGTGCGTGCAACTACCTACCTATTCACAGCTAGAACACTTGGGTTTGTGTATCAACCATGTTATGGCTTGTTTATGATACTCGTGTGCTGCGTTTGGTGTCGGTTACCAATTTTCGCTGGAAAACACGTGACCGTGCTGCAACTTTTCATCCCTGTCGAGAGAGTGACTATTTGGCTGTACACCCACTGAGCAAATGCCGTTTACTTTCCCTCTGTTTGTGCACGCTGTTTCTTCTAACCACTCCCTTAATGCTCAATGGCCTCGAATTTACTGATACATGTTTCCACACTATCTCGTTATGCTTTTTCTCTGTGGTAATGCGTCCGGCGTTTTTGGGGCCTACGATACCAAATCAATCGATAGCGTATCATTTCAAAGATCTCAAAGCTCACACCCATAATGCAGTACCACTCTGCCGGTCGCTACACGTACTCTTTTTCCTACTTTTGGCACGCACCGTATTTGACCATGACACAGAAGGCTTATAAGCGTCAATTTTCCATTTGCAATCCGAGATTCGTGTGACAACTGGTAGACGTATTACTGTCCGTGTTCATCAACCATCTGTTGACTTCGAATAGCTTAGACATGTGGTCCCATAAAGTTGGGCTTCGGCTAAGTTTTAATGGAGTCCACCTTTCATGGTCAAATAGTATATCCTGTACCGACTGTTCGTCGTTACTCTCGAGCCCATAGACATCATGTTCACGTCTTGTGAAGAACTTCAAATAAGCTTGAACCGAAATGTGGTATTGGCCAGTTACGCCTCGGGCGTGACTAACGTTTGGTGAATTCTGTCACTACGTATCTTTCGAATATCAACACGCAGCGGATGTCGCTGAAACTCGAGCTCTTTCAATAATCAGGACCCATGAGTGTTGCACCGTCCGTTTCTTGAGCTCATCCGACGCGAGTTCTTCAGTTTGCTCATAGTTAAACCTTACTCAACTAGGCGCTCTGTCAAGTTGGTTGCAACGTGACAACAGAGCATCAGCAGTTGAAATACACTTGCTTGCTCATTAGCAGGGCTGTGCAGACAATTACTCAGGAAAGTCATTTTCCTGAGTAAGTCTGGTGGTAGACCTCCCTGCCGATTTCCCATATTCTACAGGACCCTCTTGTTAAGAGCATTCCGATAGTTTCACAGTTACTGAGGGTACGGAGGTTGATGACGATTCTTGAAGCCGCTTCTAGGAGCAGAAGATACCAATACTTGTGCGTTCCAACTGTGCCGGTCTGTGCTGTGTATTTTCTAGTATCAGACAGTAGTGTTGAAGTCAGTGGGTTTTTATCTCATTGCAACACAACAGATTATCCGTGTTATGAATCCACTTGCTGGATTTTGACAACAAGCTTTTCGAAATTTTATCCACCAAGTCAAGCTTACCACATTCCGACTTGTTTGTGAGCTAATGCAACAGCACTCACCTCAATAAGGGATGCTCTATTGAAACCATAAACTCCGTGACCTTTTCTGGAGCCTCCTAGAAGAGTTCGAAGCACTGGCATTCCACGCAACTTCAGATCGGACACTACAAGCCACTACACACTACAAGTATGTGTCCAAAATAACGTGTCAATATCCTGCCAAACTCAAATTCAGAACGGGCTATTACTATATGCTTGACACTTACATTTGGACCCATCCGTCTATATGCATCCTCATTTCGCATGTATCGTCCTTCATGATTGCCTTGATATGAATATTGCTGCATGCTTTGCGATTCGATTACCCATGTCTAAACCCTGGATGCGACTACATAAAGAGTCAGTCGGTCATTTTCTCAGGTAATGAACCGTCCACCGAAGTTCATAAACACATTAGCGAACTACACTCAGTTGCATAGCAATTTGATTTTGACGGGGAATTTCTCTGGAACTCAGCTCTATCTCTCGTTTGGTGTTTTAATCAAATGAATATTCTGCACCAGGCTGTCTCACGTTTCACTTGGTACGGTATTCCAGATATCGCGTACATGTACAGACGTAATATACTACTCGTAAGATTGCAGAAAGCTCTTCGATAGCCCTACCACCAGTGTTGCCGTTCCTGGGGCTCATCAGGTAGGCGCACTCCCCGAGCTTTCGTCAACCCTCCTTCACTTGTACTCATCATAAATGTCGAAACTAAATTGGTGTGCAAACGAGTGTGAAAGTCTAAATTCGTGCAATTGGTTTCAAGTAGGATACAAGGTTGACGGAAACTCTAGGACTGCGCCTACCTGACGGACTCCAAGAAGGGTGAAACCGGTCATGAGCTGCCGAAAAGTTTTTAGTAACCTTACGAAAGGTGTATTACGACTATGCATAGACTTTATATATATATATATATATATATATATGAGCTCGATGGGTACTATTTGGTTCTTTTAGCAAGTGTCACTTATCATGTGTTCTTTTTTGGGTTCTAGTACACCAAGCCTGTCGAAGCCCAGTGTGATGAACACCTAATATTAGGCGATGAACAGGATGCATCCAGACGTTCCTTGGAAACCCCGGTTCCACCACAAACGACCGCCTTAATCTATGGTTCAGAAAACGAAACAAGGATCAATGTCACCGAATTGCCCACAGTTCATTCAGATGGGAATAATTCTTCTGTTCATGCTTATCAGCAAGCAAATGAAAGCCGACCCCTCAAGCCAAACACTCTGGAGAGGCATGGTCAAAAGAAGGTTCGTCCAAAAATATCGGATGAGGCAATACAGGAGAAGTTACGAATGATCGTCAGCATCGGTGATCCGAACCGAAAGTACCAACGCCAAGAGAAGATTGGACAAGGGTACAGTTGTTTCTCCAACAATGCCCTGCTCATTGATATAACCCAATTTTTATTTTGGTCAATAGTTTCGTTCGTTTTACGAACGCTTATCAAGACCCGTATCGATGTTCTTGTATGCACGTCTAATTGTTTAGGGGATTTTGTAGCATATGGAACTTCCGAAAATTTTCTTCATATTGTCGCGTATACTGTCGATCATTTTTGGCAGTACTGAGTTTGCCGCCTTCCTACTATCAGGTGATGCGAGAAAATCCATGTTTAGCTGCCATAACTTCTGTCAGCGGCCGGACTATCCTATCTTGTAGGTCAGAATGTGTGCGCATCTCTCCCTGTAATTTGTTGACGGTAAACACTCGGTCGACTCAGTCCAACTGTTGCCTATGCTACTTTGATCCATTATACTACCTGAGTCCTAGTCTTCATGTCGAGGACGATAAATTTTTTTCTTTGTCGTTTTGAGGCTATTGAAAGACCCAAGTTCGCTAGCGCTTAAACAACAACAGCAGTGATGTGCGGGTTCGATGAAATAGTAACGAAATAGTGAGGTAGGTCTCCTCAACCCAAGATCAGTAGCGTTTTTTATGTTGAATACTGGGATATCCATGCACTCCAAGACCGCAAAAACTATAGTTTCACACTGTGAAGCCTCGCGGGCCTATAGCTGGTTACTGTGTGCCTTCCGAATGCACGGATTCTTAGTTTGCATACACACACTATCAAATTTCGGATTTGTTACACTGTAGTGACAACACGAGCGCAATTAGTGTTGTTCTCGCATTTCTATTGCTAGACTTACATGGGAGTTTATCCCACCCAGAGTCACTCATCTGGCTTTAAAGGCGTCGGATGGTCCTGCGCAGTATGGTGGATATTACAGCATAGAATAAATCATCAACCACATGTCAAACAGTGATAGCGTATAATATCTGGTCGGACTTGCAGAACTACGGAGCTGTTTCGGATTTAAATCAGAGCACCGATAATATATTGAATTGTAGTACGAGCCTAGTACACATGTAGAAATACAAAATAGGATCGCTCAAAATCACACTCGCCACAGGTTGAATTAACGTTGAGGTTTCTGCGGTCCGTCCGATCTTTTGTTTGTGACTGTGCTTGTACATGACTGCTTTTCGAAGATACCTGTGGAAACCTCATTTGAATCTGAAAGTACAGCAAAACCAGTGTCCCTAAAAATTTATTTAATTACCATGATATATGTGTGATGACCAGTCATCTCAGTCCATTATGAGCATCGTGTGCTGGCCTGTTTTTTAGAACAGTGCCAGTTGATGGTCGTAGATCATTTCCTCGATAATAGGTCACTTCTGCAGCATTTGGACACCACGAACTTCTCTGGATAGTTTCAAAGGACTTTCACCCACCGTACACTGAGAGATATTCCGCTGCTGAGAAAGAACAGTAACAGCAGCTCTTGGAAGGTGAAGAAATGTGGAAGAAACAGCACTTTCACTGCCTTCACGGAATTCTCGCTAGTGATATTGAGAGGCAGTGTAAAGGTATTCGCATCCAATGTCATTGAGTCAGTTACCAAGTTTTAACTTTGAAATATGACCTGCTGTCAATCATGAGAACCTTCGGCACTCCTTCCTGGCTGAAAACGCTCCTCAATGCCCATACGGAATTATGGAGTTGCATCCTTTCTGAGGAGGACCTCAGCTCATTTAGAATACAGGGCAATAAGTACCAATGCGTAGTACTTCTTTAACATTAGGCCACCATAATCTGGCACGCTGCTAAGCTTACGTTGATGGAATTTTCTGGGATTTATGTCGAAAGTGAACGCAGATCTTTGCCTTTCGGTATGTATCGGAACTAGACCATCGGCAGGTGAGTCTTGTGGCTTCACCTTTTGCACTCCAAGATGATCAGATTGTAGATAGTCTAATACAGCACTGCAAAGAACTGATAGAATCACCACCTTGTCATAAGGTCACAGTATTTCATCTGCATAATTCATCGTGTTGAGTGAAGTAGCTCTTGAAGCACCCTTTTATTATTTGGACTCCAACGTTTTCAAGTTTTCAACACAAGACTGAGGTTGTGCCTAGTGCTACGTGGTAATTAAGAGTGATTCACCGGTGAAGGGATCGGACGACAGTCGTATCGTTGCGAGGCTCGTTATGTGAGCGAGAGTGACTACTAAATAACCCCAGGGTGGTAGGGAGCTGCACTGCGTGGGCATTGTGGCCCGTCGTAGACCACATTGGCTCCGAAAAAGAATGACTGTATCATTGAACTGGATATTTCGGGGGACAGTCCAGTTTGGAAACTAACTTCCAACGGGACTGCGGCCCCACCGCAGAAACGTGAACTATGAACGTGAGATCTGGTGCTTCGACCACTGGTAACCATCAAACAAACGAGCAATCATACTGCCCTTCGGTGTGCACTCTGTACTTTCAGAGTACAGACGCATACTTTAGAACTTCAGCTGCTGAACATCCGCTGTCACTCATCAAGGTGAAGCGGTGAAGGGGTTGCTGAACGCTCTCAACATCTTGGTAATTGTATCAACTGTGACAAAATTGTTTGATGTATTCAATACACTAATTTTGAAGGCCCGAATCACAGTTGCCAATTTGCGCCAGTTGTGGCATAAAAAGATACATTTTATTCAATGTTGCGTACAGCGAACCACGGCTTTGTTGCATGCTTACGAGCAATGATATAAGGTGGTGAATAATCTGGGCTCCTTGAAGTCTTTCACTTCTGATGTCTCAACCGTTTATGGTGTTAATTTTTGTCACTGAATTCGCAACGAAGTCCTTGGGAAATGGGTGTTTTGTCCTGGGACAGGTACTTTATTTGCCTAAGCTATCGCAGCACGATGGACAATTGCGAATTGGTCTCATCCGTCCCTGCTTTCATCGCTTGACTGTCTAAGTTTAGGAACTTAGCTGCAGTTGTCTGTCTAGAAACCCTGTCTTCTTTCGTTGTGATCCGACATTCAGCTCAAAACTGTTGCCCCTTATGGCTGCTGTCATGTGAAAGACGATTTGTCATTTTTGCAGAAAGTAAAGGTTTTCTAACCTTTCTCTAAAGCTTCTTGCGGCGTTGGACTGATCTACATTTCGACTGCAAACGAAGACTTTGTCCTTTACCTTAAATCATCGTGTATCTTTGAACTGATGAGGTTGTGTTAGCTCGCCACAGTTTATTTTTTACGCCCGTTGCAGGATGCTGGAGGCGCGAAATCGCATTGTTTTTTCACTGTCGTGGATGGAGTTTTCGGACAGGATCCACGTTGGGTTTTCTCTCGTCTTACCACACCAATTACCCTCTTTCACTATGGTGTTCCCAGCGATGTGCATGAGTTTGCCGGGCCGTTTTTTTGCTGGCTCTATGCGTCAGTGCGATACCCATGAAAATGTTGACTTGCTCTGTTCTACCCTATCTCAACTCAAGTTCTTTACTGGGTGACTACAGCACAAAGCGGCTGCAACTAAAGGCCCCGTCGTCTCTAAGCTACGATTATTGCACAGGCTGTTGTATCCTAGTGCATGTCCGCGAACTGCGATGCATCTAATCCGGTGCTCACGTTTTTTATTGTTAGAGGAGAACTAGTATAATCGTTTAAGCGACGTCAAATCCCACCAATTGTTGCTGCCAGAGGAATGGTAGGTTACTTCAAAAGTGCAACAACGAATTTGGCCAGGCTTATCAAAAGCAGTCACTGGAGAAAGGATGATTGCCGTAAAGCGGTCTCCGTCAATTAAATAGTAATTTTTACCACGTGCATCAACCATATCGTCATCTAGTTTTCACCTCACTGTCATCCTCCTCATTTCCAACCGTTTTCTCCGATCAGTGCTTCTGGAACAGTTTATGGCGGTATCGAGGTTGCGACCGGTCGACGGGTTGCCATCAAACAGATGAACTTAAAACAGCAACCAAAAAAGGAGCTGATTGTTAACGAGATATATGTGATGAAAGCCAAAAAACATCCAAACGTGGTAAATTATTTGGACAGCTACCTTGTAGCTGATGAACTCTGGGTTGTCATGGAATACTTGGATGGAGGCTCTCTAACCGAAGTGGTGACCGAAACATATATGGAAGAAGGGCAGATTGCGGCTGTTTGTAGAGAGGTAAGTTACTCTGGCTTATTTTATATTTTAATTAGCTGTTCGGTTTTTTTAACTTTAGGGCCATTAACCGATATCCGTATGCCGCATGTGTGGTTTTAGGTCTTCAGCTGGAGGACTGAAGTGTTGCTGCGGTAAGAGAGAACCGTTTTGGAGAGAACCATTTTTGGTACAAAACGGAAAGTAACTTGATCGTCACTCCTGGTTAAGCTGGAATGTTGGGTTTGGCAAGACTCTTTTAATTTGACCTCGTCGCGGGTACTACTAATAATGTTAAACTTGTCTGTCTGTCAAGTGATAATATTGTGTAGACCCGTAGTTAAATGCCAAACTATATAATAAATTGAACGTGTTTGGAAGTGGCAGTTGCGCTTGTCGGATCTTTAACGGCGCGACAAACAGAATGGAAACTAGCGACATCTCAATTTGGCCGTTTTCGATCAACTTCCGTATGTTAGTGACCTTATTTCCAGCCTAATGCACCACCAGATCGTATGACGTGGGTGTATCTATCCAAATTGTTTCGTTGCTATGTTTCTGGACCTGGTCATTGATTTCTCTGTTACGGTTACCTGTTTTGATGGTGGAAAACCAGTCAGTGTGCCTTCCACCGCGTCGTTACCTATTCCTGGTGCTGAGTGATGCGTGAACTGTGGTATATCTCTTGGTTCGTCTCCTGTGTTTGGTCAACCCGTGACCTTGCATACACATGCCGTTTTGTTACGGCCGACTCTTGCACTGGTCACGTTTGGTAAATCACGCAAATATATGGGTAGATGCGCCACCTCATATTTGCGCACTGCCACTTGTATCCATTGGTTTCGTGCTAGCGTGAGGATATGTACAGCCTAACTTCTCTTGTGGGATTACAATTGTTCCACTTATAACCTCGGAAGCAAATTGACTCCGATTGCCCAAGCATCTATTGTTTGTTGTTTGTTGATCTTACATAGTCTTCTTAACGTCTACTTTTTGATTAATCCTGGCGTCGTCTATGGTAACTGGACAGTCATTGGCCCGTATTCACGACACTTGACGCATGTCGGACTGCATTTGTTGTTGGCCGCTTTTGCTCAGTCTCTTTGATCCTACAGCGTACATCGGTTTTTCATACACCCAAGGAACCTTTGAAGATCACCGCCTGCGGCGGAAACAGTAGGAGAGATACCTGAGAGGTCTCGACGATGTATGAGCAACCATAGATTCCCAGTTGATGGGTTGGATAGCTTTTCTACCCTAGATCCCATAAGTTAAGGTTGGTTAGATATACTCCATCTCAAACACGGCGTTTTTCGGACAGGCCTTCAAAGTTAAAATGACCTAGGCAAACATGAATAACTTCAGCAGACCGATATTTTCATGTGACCAGACCAATGAAAATTAAGAAACAAAACACATGCACCAGGGAAGTACTAGTGAAAAGAATGACTATTGTTCGAAGGATTATCGGAGCCGCTGAATGCCATCCAAAAACACTGAGGCTGACATTTGGATGCAGTGTGATCTCGGGATATTTTCCCGGGGGTGAGAAGAATATGAATGAACAACGTCGAGTGATAGTATCGACTGATTGGTGGCGGATAGCAGATTTGGAGGGAAAAAGGTGGAATAAAAGCAAAAGCCTGGATGAAAGGCAGTCCGCGTTGACGTCCAGGTTTTTCAGTCTGCATCATCTTATGGCTTTTTAGCTTAGACTAGTTCTAGTCGCACTCTATAGGTTCAGTTTAGCGTCACAAATGCAGTTTGACATGCCAACCGTGTTCGTCATCCCAGGGATGGATGTCGGTGGGTGGATCACTGATCAGTCTTTTATCGAAATATGTGCTGGTAGTCACTGATTTGCTTGCAGCCTTCACAGTTAAGCAATAGTTGTTTGACCATCACAGATTTAAATATTTTTCCTAAGACAACCAGAGGCCTTATAGTGCAATATAGAGGGCTAAGGCAAACGAAAAGACGTCAGGCAATAACCCATAAGCGTCATGTTGAGATGGAGATGGGCTGCAACGCATATGCGATTTTCACTTGCCTTCACTTCCAGTGACCTGTTCGCTTTCACCTGTTACTAGTTCCAACTCCTCAGTAAACAGAACCAGTTTAGCTCATTTCAGTGCTCTAATTTTCTGATGCTTGTCTCTCTCACGCCATCCCTACTTCACTGTTTACACATATAGTGCTTGCAAGCATTGGACTTCCTACACAAGAATCAAGTCATTCACCGTGATATCAAATCCGATAATATTTTACTCGGTTTGGACGGATCAGTCAAATTGACGGATTTCGGATTTTGTGCCCAGTTGAGTTCGGAACAGAACAAACGCTCAACCATGGTGGGCACCCCGTACTGGATGGCACCAGAGGTAGTCACACGCAAGCAATACGGGCCCAAGGTAGATATTTGGTCACTCGGCATAATGGCAATTGAGATGTTGGATGGTGAACCTCCTTATCTGAATGAGAATCCCGTGCGCGTAAGTGGTTTACTTCCCGTTTGCTCACCTGTGAAACGTGTAAGAAAGTTCTACTTCAATTCTGCTCCACCTAATACAGCTTTTCTTCGGAACGACTACTCCTGACGATGACAACTTGTGTACCGGTGACGATTTTTTCAGAAATTAGCGAATTAAGTTGAAATCGTATATTGTTGAAGCATTGCTCCCCTCCTCCCTCACCCAGAGTTTTCCACTTTGTGACCCCTCTATCCGAATCATTGGGACATACAAACGTCGAATAGCTGTAACAACTGACACATGTGTTCACCAAAAACACCTCGTGATAAATAGCCTACTTGTCGATTTGCGTTCAACTTCTGCTCGACTTACCGGTTTCTTCAAACATGACAGTGACAGGTCTTCTGTTCGTGAACTGCAACACAGGTGTTAACAGAGTTCCTTCACTGACGCACAACTAGGGTTGTCGATATGAATCCAATCGGCCTCGCACTCATCAAAAGATATCGCGATATCTCGAATATCGTGCCAACTGAGTTATGAGGCGACCTGTGTGCAGCACTTTCAGTTGTAGAATATCATAAACGAGAGATTCAGTTGAGTCTCTCGTGAAAACCAAATTGATTTGCAAATGAGTGTATTTCTCGAGAACAGTGCAATTTGGATTCAAATAGATCATAAGGTTGACGGAAACTCGGGGACTGTTCCTACCTAATGAGCCCCAAGAAGGGCGAAACCGGTCGTGGGCTGTCGAAGAGTTCTCAGCAACCTTGTGATAGTTTCGTTTATGAAAATATCGCGACGTAATTCGCTCTTGGGGCGTTTCCTGTAACTATTGCAAGCTTTGACTGCTCTTCCAATCATCAAAAGCGTTGCGTTACATCATCTCGAGGTCGTCTTTGCAAGAGAATAGACTGTCGTATCGCAGCTAGACTGAGTCAGTAAATATACCAGAGCTTGACTCCATTAACCTCCGAATTATTCCCAAGTGGCTGAGTACTTGAATTGCTCGTCACGAGGGTCTGTCTAGGCTTTCATTCTAAATGGTGACGTTATGTGTTGTTTAGGGGGAAGCCAAATGCATTTCGTGTGGCATCGTAGTGTTGTTTTTTTAGCCTGGAAGTATTGGTGTTTCCCATGACTAAATCGTTCGGTTGCAAGAACTATTGACAGCTAGCCATGCATGACTTCACCACTGCTTCATCATCGTCGGACCTTGATGCTGTGGCATCGGTTGTTTTTTTAGCCTGGAAGTATTGGTGTTTCCCATGACTAAATCGTTCGGTTGCAAGAACTATTGACAGCTAGCCATGCATGACTTCACCACTGCTTCATCATCGTCGGACCTTGATGCCGGTAATTACACGGTACATTTGTTTCATTCAGTGTGTCACGCAGTCTAAAGTTAAAGCGTTTAACCAAGCCTTGAGGAACTGAAGAAATTTGAAGTGATTTTACGACCAAGTACGCACGTTTACAGTAGTTAGGGGGATCAGGTGTTTTGGCACTCATCTTGGTGCATGCAGCATTCGTTCGCCGGTATCAGCTCTGATAATTCACCAGGATAACGGTGGGTTGCTTCGGATCCTGCACAATATTACCACAGAACAATAAAATATGGGTTCGGGATAAGCGTTGACGGAACTCAGTTCTATCTTGTGACATTCACGGTGCGAACCGCAGTAGAGCGTCGAACTCCCGATAGCTATGTTATTGGAATCAAGCAACGTGTCAATATGGCTCTTCATCATGAAGTCTGTGCTATACGCCACATCAGAATCACGCAGGAATGGGGATGGGAGTGACTCTCGTAGTCCGCCGATTTCGGTATTCCCCATGGTTGATTACTCCAGGTAAAAGCACTGTGCACTTGTTGGTAATCACCAGCAGCACTTAAGTCACTACGCATTCCACTTGTCGAATGAACTCATTACTTGAAACTTCAGACTCAGATTACCACATACATACTAAATGTGCTCAGGAATGAAACATCCCACAAGTCGTCTGGGACTTCTACCGTCCCTGAAAACCCACCCACGTTAACTACGTGGGCAAGGTCGACACTACATCCTCTCTGACATCTAGCTAACCATACTGCTAATCGAACGTTTGTAGATGTATGCTTTGATTTTCAGCTGTTGATCGGAAGGCCGCAATCCGAAACTCCCTAGAAGCTCTTGGGGCTATTCACTTTAGGAGTGAAACAGTTTCTCGTTCACAGGTTACAGACAACAAAAGTTCATTTAAAATTACATGCCGAAGCGAAACCCAATTGAAACTAGTACTCATATTACTGTTTTCCAGACTGTGTGACACACGTGCGTCAATTTAAGCAGCTCGAAGAACAGTTACCCAGTAAAATAACCCAGCAACTCGTGTCCCTACCTGTCCCTATCACATCAGGCTTTTATTGTAACAAAATCCTTGACCTGATGTCGGTAATTGCGAGGAGTTCGATTAAAAGATAGAGCGTACTGGTAGAATGAACGACTTATTCTCTCTGACTAAGATGACACTCTTGACCACCTACTCATGATCGGCTGCTTTTAGTTACCTATTCTGAGTATGTAGATTTCATTGCATTAGTCCATCTTATCATATTTGCATCCTTAGCTGTTTCGGAACTTCCATGTCCTTTTCCTGAAACGCCATGACCTTTATTAGGAAGAATTGTTTCCCAGTTGGGAAACACCATTATATAGTTTTTTGTCGTTTAACTGTTGCGCATGCTCGATCTTAAAGTTCAGCGGAATGCTTTTTTGATCGTTCACTTTTCTACACTTATGGAGGTGATGTCTGGAATGTATACTTCTCCCGAGCCTTTATCACTGTTGTATTTATTGTTTTTCTCATTTCGCAACTTTTTTTCCTACCTTTGCACGCAAGCCCATCTTGCGCAAATTTTGCTGTAGTGTATTTGTTCGGCAATTCTTATCAGATTTCCATGGGGCGCATGACCTTCAGTGGTAGATTAACGCTAAATTTTCAATATGGTTTGGTTATGATTAAGACCGAAACACGTGACATATTCCTAGTTTCCCTGAGGGTGAAGTTGCGATGCGTTCCTTCAGTTTTTCGGAAGCAGACTTATTGGAGTTCACTGTGGCAGGATGTTGAGAATGTGCTTGCCGTGGACAGAGCCACTGTCGTCTGATTGAATCGCTACTGGGTGAAGCTCTGGGAGCCTGCGAAAATTGGTTTACTCGTCGTCGATCGAATCCATGTGCACCGGAAGTTGAACTGAGGATAGGTCGTTTGACATATTGCTACTGATTTTTGGTTCATACAGGAGTACTCTGGGGTAAAATTGTTGTGCCCAAATATAATTGTATTCATAACTCTGGGGCCTGCTTAATCTCAGCCTGCTTGCGAAGCTTCAGGTCGTTAATGTTCGCACACGAAGGGAGTAAATAATTAACTGAAGGTAACACGCACACTTAGTCCCTATTCTAGCTGTTTCGTTTTTTACTTATTTTGAACGCTTTTGCTAGAATCAGAAGTCAATATAAGCGTCGTTTGCTGGTCCTCGAGATTTTGTTACACACATACCATTACTAGTCGATAGCATCAGTATGTCTTGTCAAAGTGGTAGGGTGCTGAACAGCTGAGCCACCACCTGTACGAACATTGTCTTGTATACCAGTAATCCGTATCTGTGCACTGTATTTACTGAGAACCTATGTACGCTGGTCGATGTCTCAGGTTCCAAAATTTTTTTCTGTGATTCTGCCCATCATTTCACCTAAACACCCGACAACCTACTACACCCATTACAGTTTCTGAGCCATATGCCACGGTACTTTGGTATAGGTTGGCATGAATTACAGTTGGTTCCCCTTGGCTGATATTCAAAATATGTCGACTTTGTGCTTAACTGAACACCATTCCTTCAGCGTTTTTTAGGGACTTTGTACTTTGGGAGCATGTGTCCATCTAAGGTTATTCGGGAGGAGTACATCCTTCCATCAATCTTGATTGCTATAGTGGTTCTATCGACACAAAAGCCTTCCAAACGATTGAATCAAATTGTTTACTGTACATATCATAATCGTCCTTTTGCTAGCTTTTATCATGTCAACCTTTTTTCCCGCTTTTTTGTTTGAAGGCGCTTTATCTTATTGGGACAAACGGAAAACCGGAAATTAAGGAGCGCGACAAACTGAGCCCAGAATTTCAAGATTTCCTAGATTTGTGCCTAGAAGTCAAGGTGGAAAAGCGAGCGACCGCTCAAGAACTGCTACAGGTGAGTGTGATCTAATTGTCGGATTGTCAGCAGTCACCATTAATCCATTTCGGTACCACTGACCTCCGGTGAGAAAATTGTTCCGCGAACTAATTTGTGTCATTTCGTATCGATGGTTTATTCGTTGTCTATGCAACTAGGACGAAGATAACCGTAACCAGCTGAGTTTCATACGTCCCTATCAATGGACTTCCACTTCCAGGGTCTCTTTCGTTAGTTTTACTATAAGTTCTTAGCCTTCCACTTTGATAGCTTTCACTACACGCCTATTGTGTATTCTTCTATCTCCTAGTTATTTACAGTTTTGTTGTATATAGTTCTCCCCTAGGTGCGCGGTCAGTTGGAAATTATTTTGTACATCACCACAAACTGCTCATTTTCACTCATTTCGCCTGTCTGTCTGAAGGTTTTCTCAACTTGTTTTGCTCAAACATCACGCTTATCGTTGTGCTGCAGCCGTTTGTCAAAGTTAGCTCTACGTTCTATTCATTGTCACAATTTTCTGTTCAAGGTCAAACGAAATTTCATGTGGTTCCCTGTTCCCACATATGTCATGTGCTAACCCTGTTTGGGAAACAATTTCACTGTCGTTTGGATCACGATATACGTTCCTAAATCTAGGTTAGGATCGCGCACACGTTTCTGTGCGAACATATTCGTCTGCTCGTGACACTGATTGGCGATGTCATACGGCCTTATTCTGCGGTCATACTCCTTCGAGAGAAAATTTTTGGTAACTCATTCTCATCACACTTGCTTCCTATGCAGTGATCGGGGCTCCGATCCGTACACTAGTGTGCAATGTATCACCTTTCTCTGAAGTCCATCGTCTTCTAATTGGTCAAGCGTTGTCATAACAAAGATGGAACACGAAACTCGGGGACTGCGACCCAAGATGGGCGAAATCGGTCGGAGGATGTCGTAGAATGTTCAGCAACCTCATGAGTAATGTGTTGTCCGAGGATAGAACATCTTTTCGCAGTGCCATTGATTGGCACTTGTACTACTGGGGATGTTGCCTTTACAGCTATATTTTCAGTGTCACCCATCCCAGCAGATGATGTTTTGTTGTACCGTTAAGCCGATTAAATCAGAATTGCTCCGCTGTTAAGATATTGCCAACTCATGAACGACGACAATGCTTCGAATCATATACCTCCGTTTTACTTCCTAATTCACGGAATACTTCCCCGAACCCTTACGCTAACGGATGCTTCCCTTCAAATGTGGTGATTGTTCTTGTACGTGACACTTCGATTTTGAGATTTTGTAGCTGAAGTCTTGTTGATGGTAGTCTCGTGGTTAGCAGCGTCACGTTGATTGTGCTTTTTGTTCCAGTATGTCATGATTTTGAAAGTTCGTTTTTCCACAACTACATAGACACAACTTCGTAAAATTTGAATGATGGTGCAACTGGGCATGGGTGTACCTCAGGACTAAAGGAACTATTTTTATCGAACAAAACACGTTCCACCGATCCAATTATTTGTCATTTATTTGACTGAAAGAATGTGAGATAGATAAGGAATTAGAATCTCCCTGGACTTCACTATCAAGTGTTTGGAACCACCGGCTTGGTTAAACACTAGTCCTTCAGACCAGGGGAAACGTGTAGCGACCTGTAGCATAAAATTGAAACAGCTCGAGGAATCCTACACCGGTGAATGTTACTTTTTGATTAGAACTTTAAGCCTGAACACTGTTCTTGGGGCTGTCCGACTTTGGGCATCCTCGTAGAACCCTGGCTACCACACAAGTAGGCGCTTAGCTAGCACGTTTACCTCATGCTACATCGGCTATCGCTTGGTGGCATTAGTCTGGACATCCTATCCTGCGTGCTGGTTGGTACAAGTGAATACAATTCTGACTTTGCAGATACCCCCAATCATCACTAGTGCTTTTCACCTGCATTTCGCTTGTGGATCACCCTTCAGTATGGTGATGAAGTACTAGTGACCACCGCCGTCATCCGGAAAGGTACTACGGACCAAATCTATAAGATTCTCATTTTGGTTCCGTGTTTCATGTCCCGGGTTTGCGTTTCGTAGATGTCTCATTCATTCATTCATTCATTTCTATTATGTTGTATTGGATTTTTTCTGCTCATCGTGTTTTGTGTGTATTCCGTATACACATCTGAAAATGACCTGTCGTTGTCATCTGGACATTCCTGTCCGCTATTCGTACAACGGTGCTAGAAGTGACTTCAGTCACCACTGCCTTATAGTCCAGCCTTTGGCATGCTGTATGCTTGCCATGCCACTCTCGACATACATTGCGGAATCTCAAACGTTCATTTGAATCCACATGATTCGACAATTGTCGGCTGTCATTTTGATATGCTGACCGGTTTAGAACCATCCCTTCCTATTCATCGTCCGGTTTTATTTTCCCGGATTTACACCGAGTACACGGCGTTCGTATGGCTGCACACGCGGCTCAGCGCAAACCACATGTGACACCACCCGTCGTGCACGTGAGTCCGTAGTCGAGACAAGACAAATAGAGCAAGTTCAGCGGCAACCATTTGTTATAAGGTTGTCTATAGTGAATATGGGGACCAAGGTAATGTAACAACGCACCGTGTATTTCCTTGAGATTCAGGACGTTCCTCGGGCATCTAAGTAATTCACTTAATTGTTTCAAGTCGTTGTACACTGTTACAACTTGTGCTTTATCTGCCCGATCATCTGCTGAAGTTTAAAATATTGTTTCCAACTTTTGCCGCTCTAATATATATGTTCGAAGGAACTGTACAATGTGCGTTCCCTTATCTTCGGGCAAATCACGAAGAGCCTTATGCAGAGCTGACTCCAATCGTCTATTCAAATGCGTCGATTTCTTCTTTTGCATTTCGAGGCAACAGTCGCTACGCACAGAGGGGTCAGCATTATTTCTTTGGACAGCCAGCTTTCACACGCAAAGTTGTGGACGATCGACATGTAAAGTTCTTAGACTGATCGAGTATTGAAATCATTTCAGACTTTCGATGATGGTCCCAAGTATCTCATGCAGATGAGAACTACTCTGATTCCCGCAGGATACAGGAGGACTCTGTATTGAAGAGTCCGATTTTCCCTCAAAGGTGTGCTAACGAGTTATGTATTGTGCTGAACTTTTGTTTATGGGAACAATTTAAAAAAGAGGAAACCACGGTATTCCCTGCTACACTCGCGCACCCGTCCAGAAATGTTGGTGTATTGACATGTAGAAAGTTGTTTTCTAATTCCACCTTGGTAGTGATGGATTCGCGGCTGTTTTAGCGAAAAATAAGGCACGTTCTAAAATGGGTATATGCCCCCGCAGTCTGCCCTTTTCGATGTGAGATCATATTGTGGCAAACCACTCAGATCGTAGAATAAAAGCGGAATACACACATTTGTGTTGCTTAGCCCAAAAACTATACCCCGATCCTCATGCATGGTGGGTTTGGACAGTTAGTTACCATGATCAGCTCAAGTGGTGAGTTCCGTCGTTAGGATTTGAATGCCTCCATCAAACTTTTCAGTTTGAACGTTGTCATTCCATTGTTTCGTGCCATCAGATCTCTCATGTGATCATTCGTAACCGTCAACTTACAGTCTTCGGCAGATATGTAACTCGCCCCCTCAGTCTTCATCGATTCATTTCAGCAGCGGTTCGAACTCTTGCATACAGGGTAGTATGGCTTATGCATTCACTAGTCCGATACGCTCTTTTTCGCTTTAAACTTGCCATTTTATAACCTTAAATGACACTTTGCAGGTGTGAGGCGCATGCCAAACAGTCAGGCGGAATTATGTAGATTATTTAACATTGTTTGCATTACCACGGCGTCAGATCCAAGAATAGCCATGTCGTCTGCGTATTCGACATCTGTGAGTGGACGCCCCGGGAGCACTTCGGCACCACAGGCTTTAGAGGCTGGTGGTGAGCCTCCCATGATCGTATGAGTGACGAAGTTGAATAGGAAGGGTGACAGAGGACAGTCCTGTCTGACACCACTTGATGTGGTGAACTCAGAACAGAGCTTCCCGTAGACCTTCACACGGCCGTGGAAGTTAGCGTACAGCGCTTATGGAGGGTCAAGAATTTACAGGGAACACCTTTACTCCACAGACACTGCCATAGTGCCTGTCGGTCCACAGAATCAAAAGCAGCTTTCGGATCAAAGGACACAACCATCGTTGGTTACCGGAAGCAGTGTCGCCGTTCCAGAATTTTTCGGAGGGTGCAAATGTGATCGATGCATCTTCGTGCACGACGGAACCCGGCTTGGTTTTCACGGATCTGTATCTCATGTGCGAATGAATGGCGAACAGTTTGTGTGCTTACTTTCAGCGATTGGTGTCGGTTGACAGGCGTTCAAGATCCACCAGTTATTATCTTCGCATTCCGCTAACCATGTATTCGCTAATGGGCCGATCGTAGATGGATTGAATACTCATGTTAACTAAGCACTAATCTCATCGCGCGATCTCAAATGGACGTCATGGTCAGCCTCAGAACCGGACGCTGTTCTCTACGGGAGTCTAGCCACGGTGATGTACCCGAGAATTGAGGGTGTTCAGTGGTATTCTGCATATAGGATGGATTACCGTCCCTGGGAACCTGCATTCTGCGAATCTGTCCCAGACCTCATTCTGTATCCCTGGAGCTAAGATTAGTCGTAAAAGTCGACCGAATGTCCGCACATGCGGATCGAACCCAAGCAAGATTTTGTAAACAGGTTCCGACAACAAAATTTCCTCAACGGCATCCCATCTCCATATTGCTCTTGATCCACGATTGTGTTTAGACGACCATGAACCATTTGGATCATCTTGCTAGTTTGACTTCCCACCGTTTTGGGGTAACTAGTTCTCAGCTGATTTTGCAATTAGTTTATTTATCGATATTCCTGTAGGTCAGCACGAATGAGTGGTATTTTTTCACGGGAACTCGAACATATTTCTCCCCTCTTGAACTACCCGATTCTTATTCTTCCGAATCGAGGTGTTTTTTGTAAGTGAAGTGAAGTTGATGAATAACGCCACAGCCAAGCCACGCCCATCTGAGCAAATTTAGTACCTTTTCAGTCATCAGCAGGATTGCTAGACATATGTGCTGTTTTGCCTTATTTTCGTTGCATTTAATTAATATTGGACATAGCGAGATCACATTTTACGCATCTCACATGTCTGTGATAACTATACCGTTGTTCATGCGCCACGTGAATCACTTCTCTTCTTTTCATGCTTGCAGCATCCGTTCATCGTCAAATGTGCCAAACCACTCTCCTCCTTAACACCACTTATTTTAGTCGCCCGGGAACAAGCACGACAACACAATGATTGAAAACTGCAACATCCTCGCTTCATGAAGACTACTTTGTTGTGCTAACACTGGTATATCCGACCCATTTGGTTTTACTGTCAGAGCCACATTCATCTTTTCCGCTCATCGCCTCTGCCTTTTTATCCCAAAACCCACCAGACATATACGGGGGCGCTCAAAGTTATTTTTACTACCCTCTGACAGGACATGTCTCGTTGCTGTCCTAACCTCGACTTATGTTCCACTTCCTTGTTGATAAATCGCCCACCTGCTCTCTTTTTCACTACCTTTAGCATATTTTCTCTCGTGACGGACACCGAGCTATGGAATTGTTACAGACAGATAATTTTCGTTCGTTCGGTTAGTACTTGCGCTACACACTTCCGTTCTCTATCCTGAATGGAGAACCATGTATATATAGGTCAACAATCCTACAAGCTTTCCGCATATTTTCTGGGTTTCAACCCGTACTCTAGGTCTTTCCGTTGGTTTATTGCTATTTGGCTTGTCGATCCGACTACGCTCTCCACCGATTCACTGTGTTACTGTTGCCCAGTGCAATGTGGACATACAAACCAACCTCTTCCCATGGTCCGTCAAATTACCAAATACCCTTTGTCTTCCTGACCGTTTATCCATACTCATTTCTCCTGTGTATCTGACATCCAGACTGATCGGGCGGCAACGGGCAGCTTCAGACGCCGTCCGCCCATCGATCCTACCTGCGGGGACTCATCACAAAGCTGGCAACATATGACTTCATTTTTGTCGATATTCTCGAACAAGCATATTACTTTGTCCTTTAACTGTAATTTGGTTATCTCATCTTTGGAAAATCTTGTTTTCGCGCCATACTTTCGTCTTCTTCAGTGCTGCGTTCGGTGGTCGGCGTGGCTTAAACCCGTGCAGAGACATTCTAGCTCATTCCTCCTAAACCGGCACACAGTACGTGTCGGGATAACCGAGTAACTAGATTTATCTGCCGCTTGTAATCTTGGGATACGACAGTGGTGTAGTTACACTTTACGATAAGTCACTGCATGTATTTGACCATGAATCCTTTGAGGTGAATGAAACTTGCTGCATGTCGGTTGTCTTCGGTTCACGAAGGCGTCGGCTTCACTGACAAATCCTATCGAAGTAGCTCAAGGGTTTGTGACAGATTCGGTACAAATCCAAGTTTTCAATAGATTAACCCAATGTATCGGTACTTGCTGCCCCGAACCCCGGGGCAGGCGACCTTAGATTACTATGTCCAAGTAAAATGACATGGTTGTGCAGCGTTGAAGTAGTTACCTGACCGGAAATACCGCCAACGATGATGAATACAGTATTTAGCTTCATACCACACAAACCCATGCAGTCGCGTCAGCAAACGGCGTATAGCTTCTGCAGGCACCGATGGTGGAGAACCTTCAACCACTCTTAGGCACTGGATCTCGCAAACCGGATATATGGCAAATTTGTATATCCTGGCGCTGGTATTCAGGCTGATACCATAACGTTCCCACGGCGCATTCGTTAATTAGGAATGTTGAAACCGTCGGTGCGGGGGACAACGTATTTGGTAAAAAGGCTAATTCAGCCAAAGCAACTGATAGTCGGACTCGTGTGAACGGATTCCCCCTGGTCTAAGAATTGGGCTTATGCGTCGTTTCGACTTCGTGACATCGGTTTCCAGTTCAAGTTTGAGGGCATTTGAGTCCGATGCTCACGTTCATTTCCGAAGACATTGAGGCAGAAGCGGATACTGACCTTACCTTGAGCAAGGTATAACCATACTACGTTGACCAGCCTAACCGAAATACCACATGCCAGGATAATCCTAGCAGAAATCTACAGAGCTGATGAAGCAGATGTCGGTGGGTTGTTACTGCTTCAATCGCTGCTAGAGAACAAACCGAACAAGCAGTCAGTTTCTCAGCTAAACTGTGCACCGAAGTGCAGTGGTTACAACTTATATAGTTTCGTTCACCGAAGATAAAGAGAATGAGGGGATGAGACCCATGCGTTAGAGGTGATCGCCCAATCGGTTTATTGACGTCGAATGGTTCTGTTGATCCGGTGTAGCAGGGATTGAGTGCAACGCGATAGTTTTTGCTTTGTGAGTCACCGAGGGATGAAGATTTGACCGGTGCAGTCTCACTCACAGCGGAGTCCTTCGGTTTTCTTGTGTGAAGGCCTCGTTCTTAGTAAGACGGCGTCGAGGGAGGCGGAGACTGTCGAAACGGATAACACTGATACCGTGTTAGAGTTTATTTCACTCTTCTGAGGCTTGGTTCCTCCGCGTTGGATGGTATCGTGCAGGCAGTGAGCACAGTTGTGGACTTTCAAGGAGTGGTCCCTCAGATCATTAGTTCACCGCTTTGCTGTGCCTGCAGTCCCCCAAGCCAGCATGTTTTCAAGGGCAAAGATATCTCCAAAGCAGATGAGTGCCATTCGTTTTTTGCTGAGAGGGAGAGGAAAATACATAGAGCCCAAAAGTTGCAATGGATTCACGATGATCCCATGAGACAAAATGTACGACTTCTGATATGTTTGAAATGCACTTAACCGAACACTAAGTACGGCTCAGTTCAGCTTAAAAGCTATAATATTTTTGATCCAAGCTGTTTGTTTTGTTTCTGGAAATGACGGCAGGACAGCCGCGCACCGAAGACAATGACGTAACAGTTTCACCGTCCATCTCCATTTGAGTAGAGGAAGCGGGGCAGTGACGAGGCAAGCTTGCCAATATCGCTAACCGTTGGTGTGTCCCTTCCTTAAGTTCCTATCCAGGACAACGGCAGCCGCCAACACGATTGGTAAGGGTTTTCACATTTCGCCGTCAAGTAACAGGCTGGCCACCTTTAGGTCGTTTCCATCCCCACCTTCGTCACATGCCTGGGCTAAAAGGGCCGTGCTAGCCAGACGTTAGAATGAGCACGTGTTCAACCAAAGTGTGACTACTTTGTCTGTCGGTTAGCTAGTATGGTGTTCCTCGGCTTTGCTGATGCGAGTCTCCAACCAAACCCGGGCAGTGGTTCGGAGACCCGGCAGTCAAAAAGTGGATCTTTTTAAACCTTCACCACGTCTTGGCCGTCTTTTGTATACCGAGCACAATGAAACCTACCGCATTGTTGCAAATCCCACCGTCGACAAAATGTTGGTTTCACAGTTACACTATGACTTTCGGAAAGTGGCGAGCGTCATCCGGGCCTTTCCGACTAACCAGTTCACCGGAACCCATGCAGCTGCACAGGTAAACGAGTCGGTCCAATCCGAATTCTGATCCAGAGGCATACTTGGAGCCGTTCGGAGCTCATTCTGTTTCCGGATCAAAGACCAGTCATCATTTTTAGAAAAAATGTGTAACCTCCCCACTAGAATGCGATTTTAGCCGACTGGGGAATTTCTGCCGTAATCACCAGTGAGCATATCCTCCAAAACGCAACAATAAATGTCTCATTTGTCTTTTGATTGAAAGACTGTAACATTCACTCAGGTGGTAAACCATCAAATCCAGTCTACGGCCGACCATCCAAAATGTATGTGCACTTCGATGGGATGTTGAGACCTGTTTGGTTAGTTTGACCCTTTACTTTCGAGTTCCTTACGCACATTTAATGCGTGTAATCAAAGGGATGTTTTGCTTCCACACCTCCGGTCGGTTGAGTGTGACATTCGGTTAAGTGAGGAGAAGCTGCATCCCTTGTCCGATACCTTGTGAGGAAGAACGAGACTGGCACTCAGGAAAGCGATAGTTTGGGCGTTTGAGCCATGCAAAAAATTTTACGCATGACTCCAGTTGTTCAATTCCTCTAATGCTCTGAAGGCTAGTTCAGTCGGTGTCACCATCGTTCACATGACTCAATTAAGACTACTTCTACACCTAGATAAATCGGAGCAACAAGGTTCAGTGGATCCGGGGAATGCAGCTAAAATGCTACCGAAATGCTTGATGTTCGACACTGTCAAATTTGGTGTGTAGTCCAAGGAAAAGAGCTCCACAAGCAACAACAAACATGCGGAAGTTAGACGGGCTCTGCAACCATCATGGTTTTGTTTCCGGGGATGAAGATGGCAGATCAGTGGCAACTGGAGTCTCTTGAGAAACTTATGCTAGTCATAAGAAAGTGCTAACAAGAAGCTCTTATGCAAGTCACAGTTGGATTTTCTGGGCGAGCGTGTTCTGTTGGAAGCAGTGATGCAGAGCTTATCCATTATTGAGGCAGTCTCTGCTTACTCATTAGTAGTGAAAATTATTTGGACAAGACATCAAAACCGATGGACTTTCACGTCCGCCAAAGTGGCCTCTAGTTACGTTCATCAGGTCGTGACGTGTATCGGTACGCTGTACAGTACAGCATCTACCTCAAACAGAGGACGCTTGCTGGACATAGTGAGAACCATCCCTTCTGAGAAATCCACTTGTTAGTTTTGTGGAAGACAAACACCCTTGAAGTAAGCATTCACCGTAGATCCCCTGATTTACGATCGTCTTATTGTTCGGCCAACATGATCCAGCTATTAGAAAGCAATCCAGAAGTGAGACAGTCGGCTTTCCCCTCATATTTGTTTGTCTTGTTGGACTGAAAAACATGTCACCGAGATTGGATGAAACCGTTAGCATAAGTAGCAGTCATATGCTTGTGAGTGGAATCAGAGAAATATTGCGGAGTATTAGGAGTTCGGATAGGCTTTGCTCACCATCATCATCCACGGCAGCAGACCCGTAACGAATGCCGATGCCTCACTACCGGACAGAAAAGAATGCATAAACAGAAGTGAACGGGAAGGGAAAGATATATCAGCATTCAAATGATAATCATCACATTATGTGGATGATGCATTCGTCAACTTTCTCTAAACCCAAGCGCACATACAGAACACGACTTGTGCGCGGTTCACACACCACAGACGTTTCAATCACCACTCACTAGGTAACTAAGTAACCAAACAATGCCGAGTACGACGGCAGATTAGGTACGCCTAAAGCAAGAAACAAACAATAGAACGAGAACCCTTTGAAATAATAGATTCATATACTTGGTGTAAACACATCGTATACTAAGGCGGATTACTAAAATAGTGCATTCAAATACAGAAAATAGCAGATAGTTCATCACACAGGCAAAGGAAAGTGGAAGTAAATACATTTGGGATTTAAAAATATTCGGAGGTGGAAAATGCCTTCTGTTCCATCAACCAATCACAAACACGTTCAAAACGATTGAGTGGAGCACAAATCGACATTCGTAACTTTGACGGAGATAATGAACAGGAGGAGACGGAGTGTTTTTTGAGTGCTGTAAAATAGAAAACAAAAATCCTCTGGTTTTAACCCCCGAAACCATAAGAACTAGAAAACATAAAGCGGGACCTGAAGCAGTCACAGAGGATGCAACATACGGCTAGTTTTTTATCACTGAGGAGCACTACGCTAAGAAAGGCTCGCGAACAGCTCAAAGCAGGACTACCCGTCCCCATGAAACATCATGGGTAATGGTGGTCTGGACGTGCAGCTGAGAAAGAAGCCACATCATCCTCTGAAAAACCTCTGGGTCAAGAAACTTCAGTCAACATACAATTATACTGGACCCACATCCCTTCCAGCGCGTTCTGGCTATCAGTCAGTAAATAGGCCTAACAATGCAGATGCACACATCAGTCATGAAGCAGTTAGAGAGTTGGAACATCTCAAAAGGACCTGGACGTCCGGCCCTGATAACTTTCAACTGTACTATTGAAAGACGGTGGCTCACTACTGGTAATACAATTCAGTATTCTGTGAGAGGCCACTAAGTCTTTAGAAGAAACGCTCATTATAAGGGGTACAACATCATTCGTCCTTATTCACAAAAGGTTGGGATTGCAGTAACTGCTGTGGAATAAAATGATAACCACCATGCTACTTCGACTATGTCCAACGAGAATACACTAGTCGTGAGGAGCAGACTGACTTTCGTTCGGGTCCAGAATGTGCAGAAAACATTTAGCTGACGGCTACTGATCTCGATACATCACACATGGAGAGGACCGACTCCCCTAGTCGTGTTAAATAGTTAAATAGTTTTAGAATCCGTTGATGGAAGTGGTTTTTAGTAATACTTACTGTTGATCGGAGTTCAGGGAAATGGGTGAATAGAACTTATTTTCAGTCCCATATTTTCCTTTCCCTTGCAAGGTCAGTCGGAGTGACCGAATCTCCCAGCTTTTTATTCAAGCTAGTTGTTGACGGCGATGCCAGTGACTATCCGACCACTGTTTGCCACCTGGCTATTCGTTTCCACCTGAATAAAGCAGTTATGGACACATCCCAGAAAGCATTGTTAAGGAATTTTTTGCGGAAGTACCATACGTTGCTAACAATACGGACAGGATGGATGATGCCAGCACCCTGACTAGTGCTAGCGCTCATTAGAACCTCACGCTTGGACCCTCTGATAGCTCTCAACGGGCCTCGGTGCGTTTACCAGACGACCTTATTCTGTCGAATACACACTGGCAGCATCGGCTTGTACGTAACACACTCGCGCCACGCAGGATGTTTATAACTTAGCCTATCATGTGCACACATCCAGCAGATCAGCCACTGCTGACCGGTGGATACGTTTCGAATGCTAACCCTCAAAAGACACCACTTCAAGCTGGTCCCCCCTGACGCTTCTATCGAATTCTATGAAAAATTCAGACCAATTAATTACTTTGCATACTCTTGTGAGTTGACCACACATGCAGTAGGACGGTGGAATATAGAAAATATCATCCAGGGACTGCACCATTGCTTCCGATCCCATCTATGAACATTCGGTGTCTTGCCTCACCCGGAATTGACCGGTTCGAAAGATATCCACATGTCCAGGCTCGAATCAACAAACATTGTATTAAAACAATGGAGATGCTTCGGACGTTGGCTAACAGTACAGTATAGTTGTTTTTTATCACCAACATCACTTCGAGATGATAAACGTTTGAAAACAAACCGAAACACGGCCGGCAACTCGCACGTAGGGCTACCACAAATTCATTTACAGTGCTATGGAATGGGAAGGATGAGTTAACAGTTATGACCAGGAGGTTCAGTATGCTGGAAAGTATACGATAGTATCAAGCGCACGAGCAACAAGACATTAACAACTTAGTCATGTTGCCCTTTGTACAGTTTCAGGAAAAAGTACCAACTAAAAACCCACGTAACTTACGAGGGGCAACACCTGAAAATATTGGAAATGGGACCGCTTTGTTCCAACCATCAACAGTTGTAAACCCTGTTGATTAAGTTAGTACAACCTGGCAACTCTGGACTAGCTATAGCTGTATATTGATGAGCTGATAACTGCCAGCCAACTAGTTTTGAATCTGATCGGATGCATATGGTAGTTGCACTCCGAAAATCGTAACAAGGAGAGGTCGTTTGCCTGTGGCCGATCGCAACAATATGGCCTCGATGAACTCCAGCAGTCATTTTGTGCCCTAGCACCTTCACAGCGATGTTGTGACTCATCGCTCAGCATCTAGGGTAAGTTTATTAAAGCAGTAAACGCCAGATGCTCAGGATATTCAGTTAGCGGTCGAACTTTGCGCCGCCATGCTCAGCGGACAGTGCGAACATCAGCAGTAAGCTTCTTTTATGGGAATGATCGTTTTGCTTCACCCAAGAATTTCTACTGAGGTATAGGGACAGATGAAGTCAGCCGGCGGAGTCGAAGAATGAAGAACGGTAAACATTCACACGGTAAGTTTAGAATTTGTACGCCTTGTATGTACAATACAATACAATACAACGCAATACAATAAATTACGAACAACTCGTGGAAATGGCATACCGACACCAACAGTAACAAAAAATACCTAAAATCGTTGTTGTAACACACTTTCGGTGCCTAACTGCCATGCCACCAGAAGGAAGCACGAGGCCTGGGATACTGTTAAGTTGCCCAAGCCTAGACTGGGGAAGTCGAGAGGCAGAAATCGGGTTCCAACTACGGACCTTCCGGCCAGTAAATTCGCTCTATAACCACTGAGCCATTTCGCCTCCCACCTAAAAAAGTTATTTTTCGTCTTCCACTAGTTTATCCTGAGAAGAAACCACTTTTTTCGACGCCTTCAGATTGCCTCTCTAGGAGAACGGCAACTCAATACATACGTTCGTGTACCTTGATCACACATCTCACGCGGCTACGTTTTTTTCTTTAGGCCATTCAAAAATATACCCGCTTAAAGGGACTCTCTTTATCGATGATTATTCAATAAATTATCACTCGAAAGGGAACTGTCATGATGTGCGAAGTCAGAAAGGGAAATACTTACTAGGTTCGGATTGCCTTTCGTTCAGATGTACTGGAATACGGGGATCACTGAGCCAAGAAATTATCCGCGCTCTTTTGGAGGAAGGGGTTCGCAATGAATCTGGGGCACAGAACAGAGTACGAACAGGACAAAAATGAACAAGAAATAGTGGTTTGAGAAGGGGAGACCGTCAAAGATAGGAAAAAGAGGAAACTGACTCAGAAATGGGTTCAATGCTAATATGAACGGCAAAATGTAATAGACTGACTAGACGCCATAACACGAGCTGGCCGGTTATTTTATAATTAACGTTTCACAGACAGCCGAGGAGATATGGTCACTGTACTGCTGTGATACGCCCTTCATCGATGCGTGCGTTCATTTAGTTTAAAGAGGATTCAAGAGTGTTCTGACGAGTGTTTTTATGGTATGTCAACTGGATATATCTCTTCAATTATTCCATCGCCAACCTTCGACTTGTGAAACTAAGCCGATCATCAAAGGATTTGCTACTTGGCCCCTACGTTGGTTTTGATTGGCACTGACTTATACCAAAAGGACAATACTCGTCAGAAACCGAGCGCCATCCATCCACATCTAACCGGTTGTGTTCAGTGTTCACCTACAATGGGGAACACAAGTGAGACCTCTCTGTCAGGGAGAATTGGTCAAATCTAATATTTCCGTATTAGCCGAGTAATTCTAAAGTAAGGTACTTAATGTGTCTTATATATGTTGTCACTACATTTCATTGTGGTCTGTTTATTTGCTCTCCCTCAATATGATTCTCGTAGAATGTGTATTAAAATGGGGTACTGTTCAGGATTTCCCTGTAGTCCTAAAATTGGTTTCATATTAGTCACCATTCATTGTGCCATCATCCTTCGAGCTGTTTGATTGGTCGCCGTCAGATTTGTCATCACGCGAAGAACAATGTTTGTGATGAAGTTGTAGACCTAAAGCAATGTTGGTGCAGTATCCAGAAGTCGCACGTCTCCCAGTCAAACGTAATCTAACAATAGCCGGATTAGTTTTCATCTTGTCACGTAGACAATGAGGTCCACTGAGTGGAATTAGACTAACCTGTTAGTATTTGGCAATTTTTCAAGCTTAGATTATCAGAACAGTCTATGTGTAGTTGCTTTAAGGACACAGCCGTCTGAGAGTAGAGTTATTAATCCATAAAGGATTCACCTGCCTTATGTGACTTGAAGGGGTATTTTGGAGCACTTATCATTACGATTCAGGGGTGAGCGGACTGAGACCTATTTGACCTATAGATGTGCGCTCAGGAAAAGCACGGTGAACGTCCCCTGGCTTCAGTATTTCCCGTAATCTTCGCAGTGATATTCGTTAACTGCCTTAGATGGATCGATGTCCCGTGATTTCTATACGTTGAACCTGACGGTTTTCGTTCTACCTGTGGAAGACGTCTAAACAAACAAACCAAAATAGAATACCGGCAGTGGTCCCCTGTTTCGGCATAACGTTTGCACCTCAAAAGTGCTGTTTGGCATAAGAACTTCACACACCCCTTGTAGTCCCATTATGAGGAAATTGAGTTCGTTGGTAGGTTCACTTATTGATCTTTGCAGAACAGCAGGTGCTTGACTAGCAGCAGTATGCATGTAATGTAACGGTCTGCAAGCGGGCACTAGGTAGTGAGTAGAATTCACTTGAACAGTTGATGTGACCTACCAGGTTAGGTCGCCTTGCTCCAGCATTATGCTCAGATGTGTTTATCTGTGATTTGAGAATGCGTTGGCACCTCGCTCTTAGACATTTTCTGTAGAGACAAGAGGCTGTTTATAATAAGTTCCCAGAGCTTCTTTTATTTCCCACCCTTCACTAGGACTTCTCCCCAGTGGTTAAGCACCAGTTTGCACTACTGGTGTAGTGCTGTTCATAATGACGATGATGAAGGCTAGGATAAACTTATTTCGTTACACGACTGTCTGAGGAACTGGGCCACTCAGCTCCATCACGAGCCTTACGACTGAGTATACATCGAGCAAACCAGCACACCAATACTTTGAGGCGTTCATAGCGCTGGGCAGAACAACCAAACTAAAGGTCGTTGAACTCACGATCTATGGTACATCTCACGAGTTGTATTAATTATATAGAAGCCACGGAACTACTGTAGCAACAGGCTTACTAAGCAGCACAAGGAATCCGTGCCGGAAGTAACCTGTACAAATGAAAACCGTAGGACCAAAGCCGTCAAAACGTTTCGACCACTTTTTAGGGTTTTGGTATTTCACTCGATAATCCAACGCTAAATTTGAGGGGCCGGAACGTAGAAGTCATTTTGGGGAACGAATTGGAAGGGTCACTGTATTACTGTTCGACATGTTTGGACTGGCCCTCCTCGAAAGATGCTCAAGCTTCCCGGCTTCGATTTATTGGACCATGTACATTCGGTCAAGCGTTTCGTTGATATCAGCCAGGTTCAATGTAGAATTTAAGATCCCGGAATTCGGAACGATCCTGATGTTCTGGACAGTTGGGATCTCGACCGCAATATATCACATCAAAACAATGACTCTCCCCCGAACTATCCGTGCCTACGCAGGGTTTGTCTTTACGCGCAAAGCATCATATGGGCTGCGAAAACAAAGCCAGTTTCGTCACGACTAACTGTACCTGCCGGTTTGCATTATTCGCGAACGTGTCCAATACCAAAAGTTGCGATGGTTAGACCATGTACCGCACACGCCGAATCATATCTTGCCGAAAAGGGTGCTGTTTTCCAAGCCCAATACAGAGTGGCGGAAGCGGAGAAGGATATGAAAGCGACCCTAAAAAGCCTGGGTACTGTCGTTGCGACTCGCCTTCCCAGATAGAGTCAACCTGATCCCATGGTTAGAGACGGTTAAACATATGGCTTCTAATAGACGTTCTTGATGTCTGTTTCTATCTTGATTATCTGGTGTCTCGGCGTGTAGAGACCTCGAAGAGACTATGGTAGGATAACAGTAGGTATCTTTGCCATCCACTTTTTTCACAATAAGGCTTCCAGCTAAACAACGGTTGTACGCAATCAAAGTATTAGAGTTGAATATTAATACTGTGTTGATGATGACAAAGATTCTGCCTCAGGGACCTTTGGACAATAGTTCTGTAAATTTTTGTGGCATAAGAGGCCTCACCATACTCAACGAGAATGACCCTGTGAATAGTAAATAGATATCTGCTTTGATCAGAAAGTTATGCAAAACATACAAGAACTTATCTGCTCACGTTGTGGCCGCAAATGAAGGAATGATATCAGGCTGTGGCAATGCCTATCCGGCTTTAAAGTCAAGTACTAGCGCTCGTAAAAGTTGACTGATAACTGTTGTCGCAAATAAGCTCAAATTATCGCTCATTTTTAGTTAGTTATTAACCACAACATTTAATATTTGTGTAGTTGGCCTCCCTACTTCAATAATATAAATAAGGGAATGTCGTCAGTATTGGACTTTTCAACGGTCCATACCATTTGAAGTTGGTAAGTTTTATATGATTAATTCGTGTATGGCTGCATCGTAGACATAGATTATGAGTTCAAATTTTGCGACACTAAAAGGATGTCCCACACTTTACCGTTGATCGAACTGACCATAAAGGTACGTTAGGCTTCCCCTACATTCTCCCAAGAGAGCCTGTCATTTTTTTAGAATCTAGATGGATAAGTTTACCGAAATAACAGTTCACGTTCAAATACTACTCAAACAGATAAATGCCTATCTATCGGGACACATAGACAAATGCTGTAAACATTAGGAAGAAATTGAAGAACTGCCTCCTGTATCGGGGAAACCGGTGTGATTCTCTTTTATATTCAAAGGAGATAACATATTACTCCTTGTCAGAAGCCATCCGAAAGCAGCTGCCAAACGTTGGTGAGCCTCCACATCCCGCCAACAGATCACGAGTTTGAACGCCAGATCCAATCTTATACTTGAGCAGAATGATCAGGCCTTTGGGAACCGAAATCAAATAGCACGCCCAAAAACGGCTCGAGAAACCTGAATCTCAATGCCCAAACCCCGTCATAGCCTGGCCACGTTATTAAACCAGTGACTGCTGTTAAGGTAGTTCGCATATCAAATTACAAGCACAAGCTTTACTCCGAGAAAACTGTGTCGATACATTGTTTTAATTTTATTTTACATGCACACAAATAGTCTCCAACTAATGTTACACTAGTTTCGTAAACCAGAACATTTTATTCTACTTAGTCATGTAATTTTATAACATTACCATTTATTGTTCTGCGTACGTACCCGCTTTGCGTTTCGTTTATCACAAGCAACTCTAATCCTATTTCTGGTCGATATTCATTCAATTACCTTCGATTGCGTTTGTTATTTGTCTGGTTGTTTATTCTGATCATCTTAATCAGGTAGACCAACCTTCTTGGGTGACGTGACCTGTCGAACGTTTCTCATTTTACGTAGCATCACAAGAGAAACTGTTGAGCAGTGATCTAAATGTCCACGTGTAAGAGAACTTAAATCCTGAATTCGGCTCAAATAAATAATACTGGAAATACGCCAGTAGAACCAACTTTTTTATCAGCCGGTGCGACTGCTGTTGCTGTTGAAATAACAGAGGTCATGATGTGTAAACTGAGGGTTGTGCTTCTTTCAGTGCGAACGATTTGGCTGACATCGCCTCAAATTGCAGAATTACTAAGGACGCAATAAAAACTACTTTGGTGCGAATGGGGTGGCAAGTTTGTCTTTACTTCTAGTGATAGACCAGCTACAAACCGTATTAGCAGGACACACCACAGATCTACCGCCAGGAAGCCTCGACTTGATGTTCTGCCACTGTCAGGATTCAGTCACTCACTGCCAGTTTCGAAACAACGTTCTCCAACTTTATGAGCACATGTTTTCGCTATGTCCCACAAGGTTCCTGGTTATCGATAGGTTTGGCGTGTTGACAAAACCAGCCATAAATGGCTTGGTCGATTCAAGGGAATTCTAGAAGCTTAACTGCCACAAATCTTTCGTTCCAAAGCCAACAATAGAATTAACTGGCGTCTCTCCAAAACAGAGATGGGACAACATGATACATGACAAGTGTACACACGGGTGAGCTTGATCAGTATAATTTTCCCTTCTAGTTACAAGGACTTCTGAGAAATGAAAACAGATTGCTTGGTGGTCACGTAATACGTTTCATTTCACCCAAATGACTCATGAGCTGTGCGTAAGGTATGTCCATCCGTGAATTGGATAGGCCGCCACTACGAGTGAAATAGTTCATCAGACGATCACTTGTATCATTACACTAGCTAAGCCGTTCATTTTCTTGACAGTCGTACATATGGAATACGTGATATCCAGATGAACCGTCACTCCCGTCTTGGAAACAGTGCTGCTATCCTTCCGTTAACTTCCCCACAGCCCACCACGTATGTTATCATTCTCCCAACTAGCGGCGTCGCATAAGATCACAGATGACCGTCGGTTCAGTCGCGCAAATTACGCCAATGGGTAGGGGTACCTGGAACAGATTTTCAAATTCTAAGACGTGACGCCTGCGTTTTCAGCGTACCTTGACCCACTGGTAAGCTTTCATGCTCACCTGTTTTTGTCTTGACAACCGGACTAATGAAGACTGACAAGCTACGTGTTACCAGTTCCTGGAATAAAGATTTTCATTCCTACCATTTAAAACTGGTTTACGTTGATCCGTCGCTAAAGTGCTAGCCCGCACGTCCGTAAGCGCAGTCGGTTCACAGTGATGGAACCAGGATTCTCTGTGTGGAGTTGGCAGCCAGTCAGACGATCCAGAGGCTGTTTGCCCCTGTCAGAAGTTTGGGAATTGTTAAATTCCGTCATTCCGAGAGCGGGCTTCGCCCTCGGAGTCAGTGCTTTGAAATTATTCCTGGGAAATGCCACCACTTGCCAACAGTCAAGCGCTTATTCACATTATGGACAACAATGAAGGCGAAAATTGTATGTGGTCAACACTAAATTTTCCTAGTGCGTCTTCTTCGGGGTGAAGACCGTAGCGAGTAACACTCACCATATCTCTCTGTAAGAGTTATACAATGCTAAAGGAGTCAAATATGCCAGCACTCGCGGTGAGCTTGTGCCATGAACTTGCGAAATTAATTACCCTCAACCAAAAAAAGCGAAATGTGACACCAAGTTCAAAGGAAAGTAACCAACAATAGTAAAACGGTATTCAAACAACCTGAAAAAAAGACATGTCGAACAGTGTTCGTTCTCCAAACTTCTTTGAGTACACGACATAATTTTCAAACTCACCAATATACTGTACACATTCAAGGTGGGTTTCTGTGTTCGCTGATGTTGTTCCTTTGCTGCTTGACATTGGTGCATTGGTGCGGTCTCTGCTACTTCGCGTATCAGACGCAAAAGACGCGCTGTCTACGGCTGTCGCTAATCGGCACAAAATGTATGAAAAGGACCAGTAAAAATACAAACTGTGTTCTATGAAAAATTCTAAGCTGGTCGACATGAACTTACGTACATTCAACAGAAACATCCGAAGGCTAGATAGCTAAGCAGTGAACTGATATAGTCATAACACAGACTGGTAAACCAGTATCAAGGCTATAAATTGTTACAAGAACTAGAGTGGGACATTAACGTTGTGCGGTGCCGATCACAATTTAGATGTTTCACAGTGTAGTAACAAAATGACTTAAAAACCTAGGCAGAATAAACTATGAGGTAATATAACCTTTTCCTATAAGAGGTAGGACGAAATGTAAACCATCACCATCTATCACACTCCTTACATTTGTCATCGACCAAATACATCGAGAGGTTTCCTTTATCTCTTCAGGATGACTCATGGACATAAGGCCACAAATGTGTCATCCTTTCCCCCACTTTGATTATTCTTATTCTCGTGTGGTACGAAGCACACACCTACCATCAGCCGTAAGCATCACGGTCGTACGTGGGCTGGGATACTGTCAGGGCACCCACACCCGGAGGGGAGGACGATTAAGGTCCTCAGCCTGAGCCTTTGGCTCAAAAGCCTAACCGCAAGGCATTTGTATTCAATACAAATGCATTACCGTTTCTACGGAACAGGCCACCACATGTTCCAACCCCCAACCGGGAGGGCCAGGAGACTGTGTTCGTCAGACCTCTAACTATTGACCAACCTGGAGGCTTCTGATGGAAGACGATATCAAGGGTTCTCAATGTCTCAGTACATGCTCAGTATACCGGTTAACTGGTACTACCGAGTTAGAGAATTTCCCGAACCGCAACTAAGAGACGTTTGAACAAAACTGACCCAGATAGAGAACCGAGACAGTATGTTAAGCACTGGTAAAGAGGATCTAGTCATGCTGCCAACGGTACTGCATTCGATGTACCAATGCGACATAAGCCTGATTTACATGAGCCGAATTAGCTGCGCCAAACAGCGGGACGAAACGTTCTCAAGTGTAGTTGTGCTGGCCCAAACAATGCAAACACAGCTTCGAGAAACATTAGAATACACATACATGAAAATCGACGCCGCGAGTGTTTTCTTCTGGGTAGTTGATGCTGGAGCCTCCGTTTAACGCTCTGAGAAACCTTCAATACTGCCGCATCGAGAACTGAAATGAATGCTCGCAACCAAGCAACCGTACTCACGGGTCATGGCAGTGCCGGAGCCCAAAGAAGAACCTGAATGAGATGTCATGTTTGCACCACTGTGATCGACATCCAACGGAGTTGAATAGGCAATCGGTTCTTCTATACACGATAGAAAATCTTGAAGCGATTTTCGAAAAGAAACACAACGGACCTCCGGGTACCTCAACGTCCAGTTTACATAGATCCACAATATCACAGTCTGAGAATTCATGCGAGTACTGAAGAACACGAAAAATATAAACCGAACTGGAACATTCTGATACCTTATCGATCACGGCATTCAACCTAACCTGAAAACAAGAATCCATCGCCGATGGTCAGAGTAACCCGCAACGGGGATTGCAATCTGTCGAAGCTGAAATCAAAGGAAAGCAAGCACAGTAACTGATTCATCTTTCTACACTGCTTTCTAGAAGAAGCGATAGTTTTCGTGCACTTCAAAAAGTCTGCTTTCCGCGATAATGTATTGTAGCAATGTATTGTTGTATTGTTCACTTAAGAAGGGTATGGATTTTGATAGAAGGGACACGGCTCAATGGTTAAAGTGCGAATTCACTGACCGTAAGGTCCGTAGTTTCAATCGCACCTCTGCCTCTCGATTTCCCCCGAATAAGCTTGGGCAACCTGGCAATATCCCAGCCCTCGTGCTTCCTTCTGATAGCATGGCAGCTAGGCACCGAAAGGGTGGCTACAGCTGACAATTTTATTGTTTACGGACTTTGGTAGGCTAACTCTCGTCTGTTTGGAACCAGTTGATGGACGATTAGAATCCTTTATGAGTTCTCGGAAAACTAACCCAAAATTAACATATTTACTCGGCAATACAATAACGCAATCTAGTCTGAATTTGTTCTAAATACCGCTGATATAAATTTGACAACAGCTGAGGGACGTACCACCAAAGACGAATAACTGATTTCTACTATACTGGTAACCAATCAGCAACACGACGAAATTTGCACCAATATATTTCACATAACCGATACCAGGATGAAAATGCGGTCGATAACGACATCTTTGACCTTTGATAGTTCCGCTCGCCAGCGGTTTCCGGGGGCTCTTCACACGGATCAACTGGAACAATCTTCTGATCATTCTGTGCCTATTCCACCTCGTTAGCCTCCCATGTCCATCATGCTCCTGGGTAGGCGCCCATCCTGAGTTCCACCTGATATCTGATAATTCGCAAGGGTGGATTATTTCCGTGATCATCGAGATCTCTTCGAAATTAAAGCGGTGCTGTTGTTGTGCCTCATATATGGAGCTTGAGTAAACCGGAAGGTGCCGTGCCGTGGACGACACACTAGGCATTGCGAAAGCTTGTGGCGATATGCTTTCGGTAAGATCCGAAATCCGACGGTGTGGCGATATGAAGGAGTTCAAAGAATATTTTCATAAAGGAAACTACTCACAAGGTTGCTGAAAACTCTTTGACAGCCCACGACCGGTTTCGCCCTTCTTGGGGCTCATCAGGTAGGCGCAGTCCCCGAGTCAAAGAGTTTTCAGCAACCTTGTGAGTAGTTTCCTTTATGAAAATATACTTCGATATCTCGAATATCGTGCCAACTGAATCATGAGGCGGCCTGTGTGCAGCACATTCAGCTGGAGAACATCATAAACGAGAGATTCAATTGAGTCTCCCGTGAAAACCAAATTGATTTGCAGATGAGTGTATTTCTCGAAAAACAGTGCAATTTGGGTTCAAGTAGATCATAAGGTTGACGGAAACGCGGGGACTGCGCCTACCTGATGAGCACCAAGTAGGCCGAAAACGGTCGTGGGTTGTCAGAGAGTTTTCAGCAACCTTGTGAGTAGATTCCTCTATGAAAAGAGATATACTTCGATATCTCGAATATCGTGCCAACTGAATCATGAGGCGGCCTGTCTGCAGCACATTCAGCTGGAGAACATCATAAACGAGAGATTCAATTGAGTCTCCCGTGAAAACCAAATTGATTTGCAGATGAGTGTATTTCTCGAGTTCAAAGAATGTTTCTGATAAGTTCGTTCAACTTCAGGATCAGCCAGCCCCTCAGCTGTTGATCGAGTTGTTCGTCCTTTACAGGCCCCGAAAAAAAACTAGTGGATAAGCGACTCCAGAGGAGCCCGTGGTCAGAATCCACAGAAGTGTTCTAAAACGACAGGCAATCAGTTATTGGTCCACGCCGTCCGTAAGAGACAGAGATGCGATCAATTCGGGCCCGTGGCTAGCACGCTGTTGGAGGATACCGTGTTGCCAGGCGAATTCGGTTCAAGTTAGTACGGGATGCAAACATCCTGCGGTCAGCAGTCGTTGGCCGTTATCCGTACACACGGAGTCCGGTCCAAGTCGACCACCGAAACAGTCTTAGATTTACTAAGTCTGCCCACTTGTGCATTCAATCCTCCGGCAACAATAACTTTTAGCCAAACGTAACAGCAGGCACGATAAACACACAGCGATTAGTTACTTGCTTATGGGAGTCCTTCACGGGTGTTGCCAGGTGAACCACACAAAGGCAACTCCCAACGAACATCCAGGCAAGCAAGAATACTCCCACCCGGTGACCTCGGACGAGGCATATCCTGCCGCAGCGCCTCTTGAATCGCCAGAGGTGCACAGCCAGAAGCGTCTGGTAAGTGATGGTGTAGTTGGCTTAACCACTGTGCTTGGATCCAGAGGTAGCACGGGTTAATAATCGTTCAACTGCAACACCTTTTCGGTGCCTAGCTGCCACGCCACCAGAAGGAAGCACGAGGGATACTGCCAGGAGAAGTCCAGAGGCAGAGGCGCGATTGAAACTACGGACCTTCCGGTCAGTGAATTCGCGCTCTAACCACTGAGCCATTTCGTTTGACGGGTTAGAAAAGTTCGGCTCTAAAAACCGCACACCCCAATCGCTCAACGGTTGACTGTGACCACAGGAGCATTATTCAAACTTGATACACTTTCTGAGGATATTCGTTACTCCTGCTTCAGGCGGTACGAAGACAAGCTCAAAACTGCTTTTCCCAAGCTCGATGAGAAGTGGGAAGTCAGACTATTGCTGCGAAAACTCGGCGAACCGGAGCAAAAACGATATACAAACTTCATTCTCCCAAGACTGTCCAGTGACCTCAGCATTGCTGCGAAACTCGGCGAACCGGAGCAAAAACGATATACAAACTTCATTCTCCCAAGACTGTCCAGTGACCTCAGCTTTGATCAAACGGTCAGAGTACTGTCGCAGGTACTCGGTGATCAAACACCGTCATTTAAGGGTCTTTATCAGTGCTTCAAACTGGCCAAGAAACGCTATGAAGATTTTAGCATGTCTGCCGGTGTGGTCAGTCGGGAATGCAAGCGTTTCAACCTCAGCTCAATGACGGAGAGCCAATTCAAGTGCCTCACTTTGGTATCCGGTCCCCAGACATCCCAAGATGCAGAAATCAGAACCCAGCTGCTTCACGAAGCTGAACCAGGATTGATATGAAGTTGCAGAGCCTCAACACCGACTGCCCCCCATCAACCTGAAGCATGACACGGCTATAGTCGGTCAGTTACCTACCATTTCTGGCAACCGTATCTAGGCAATCAATTCCAACCCGGTCGAAAACAGAGCAAACTAATAAATTGCTGGTACCGCGGTGGGCGGCTCGTTATTATCGCTTTGGGCGTCATAAATGTACCAGGTGCAGTCGAATGGTTACAAAGATTCATGCCTACCTCGGACGTCGTAGCCACCAGTACACCAGCGTGCAGCTCACAAATTGTGGTCCAACCCGGCGACGGCGACAATTAAGTTGACTTGGATTGCCGAAGGAAGTTTGTGACGGTGCACATAAACAACAACGAAGTTCGATTGATACGGGCTCCAAAATCATGTTGCCAACCACGGAAGCGAATTGGCACACATCATGAAAAGCGACTGAATACTTGTCCCACAATGCCTTCGAGGGTAATATGAGATCGACTCATCACCATCATCGTTCAGCTGTAACACCCTTCCCGACCTAAAGCTGCCACCTTGACGTGGTGGTTGGGCTTGAGTGCTGCAATGATCCCGCGGGCTACACTGGCTGGAACTCCGTTCCAGAAGGTCTAACCATGCCAGGAAGGCCAAAGGGGAGCAGCCAGACCAAGAGTAGCGAGACCCCGCACTACGAGTAATCGTGGTACGAGGCGGTCTGGGGGTAAAGTCGTAATGTCCTCTGCGACAGGAGTGTGAAGGCAGTAAGGTGTTTCCCCCAGACGACCAGCATGTCCATATTTATAGAAGCAGCGATGCTGCCTTCCCCTGAGGAAGGACGGGTTAGAAAAGGTCGGCCCCAAAAACCGCACACTCCGATCGCCCAACGGTTGGCCGTGACCGCCGGCGCATTATCCAATACGGTCGAAATACTTTTAAAACCAATGAGCCCGGTGCTGCTCAAAAGGCACTTGCTGTGCGCAGCCGCATCAGAAATGAGACAGTAATGCCTTATTCCCTGCGCCCTCAGGTTAGGCCAACCCCCTGCAGCCGAGCAGGTCAGACTATTGAGTCATCCGCTCCGGGCAGGGTCCCCAAAGAAAACCCAACATTCTCCCACTGCCTCGTGGGTCAGACTTTTGAGTCGAAGGCTCAAGGTGGGGTACCTCAACCAAACCCCCTTCCTCGGCCTGGG